GTTTGTTTAAATTAAAATTAGATTGTTTCCATTTCTCTGTAGGATGTTGTTGATGAATGCTTTTGTATAATCACCTATTTTTCTTAAACACCTATCATGTACTAAAGGAAACAAACTAAAAATATATTCATATTTTATGAATTGCTTTCAAATGACTCATTTGTCTATGTAAAACTTACAAATATTTGATTATTTAAGTTTGTAGGTGTAAAAACTGTTAACTTATGGTGTATTTAGGCAATTTAAATTGGGTTATGTATCTAGATGTAGAAAACTTGCTGCATTTTGCCCAATATCTAATTTACTCTAATACATTTATGCTGAAACCTGTACCTTAAAAACATTTTTAAATAGGTATATTGAGATCTTCAGAAGTAGCAGGAGTGAAATCAAAGGATTTTATGACCCACCAAGAAGATTGCTGGGACAGCGACCGGGACCATATGATAGACCAATAGGAGGAAGAGGTGGTTATTATGGAGCTGGGCGTGGAAGTATGTATGACAGAATGCGACGAGGAGGTGATGGATATGATGGTGGTATGTGTATCTAATGAACAAAGGTTCTGTTGTCATTTTCTTAATGTTCCTGACACTTTGTCAAGAAATATAGAAATGGCGGTAATTTCAGTACCTACTAGGTTTTAAAACCTGTTTGTGAAAGTACGTATTCCCATGGTCAGATCTGGGATTTGATTGGTGTACATATTAGCACCTAGAAAAATTACATAGAAGTTAAAATGAAGATGATTGGTATGTTTTCTTCTGGGTATCAGGATGTAATTTAGCTTACATGTCTGAATTTTGAGGTTTTAAGCTTATATTGTTAACTGCCTTTTTTATACACACTAACTTGGATTGCAAACTCATAATGATCAAGAAGTTAAATAGACTGCTTACTACAAGATGTGTATTTATATATTTATCTCAGAATGATATTCATGTAATTTCTCCTTAAATTACACAGGCTATGGAGGTTTTGATGACTATGGTGGCTATAATAATTATGGCTATGGAAATGATGGCTTTGATGACAGAATGAGAGATGGAAGAGGTAAAATAGTATTTTCATTTGGGAGTAAATTTTTTAGTATTTGTAAGCTTCCTGTGGTAACATCAGTGGCTCGTATAAAAGAAATTAATCAGGTATATTTCAGTGCTTTCCTTCATGGGCTTTATACCTTTTGTATAGTGTGTGTGTATATATATATATATATATATACACTTTCCTACATATATCCATAATGGTTTATAATGTTGACAAAATTATTTTCTAGGTATGGGAGGTCATGGCTATGGTGGAGCTGGTGATGCGAGTTCAGGTTTTCATGGTGGTCATTTTGTACATATGAGAGGGTTGCCTTTTCGTGCAACTGAAAATGATATTGCTAATGTGAGTAATTTTGGTGATCATTTGTGGTTTTATACTTGGTATCTTAATTTTAAAGCACTCTTTTTTTTCCCCCCCCCTTTATCTTTATTAATGACAATATCAAGATTGGTGCTGGGGATGTAGCTCAGTAGTATTCTGTTAATGAATTATCATAAGGCCCTGGGTTCATTCCCTCACATCTGTCCCATATTTAGTGGTTGATAGATATTGTGTCATTTTTTTTGCTGACCTAAGTGGGATCCAAATCCAGTTAATAGTGAAAAACTGTTTGATATAGACTTGTGAATAGATAATTTCTTTTGTTGTGTCATATTTTGAAAGAGCAAATATGTAAAAGTTTTAGTGGCTTGATTTGGCTTTCTAGGGTAGATAAATCCTGCTGCTGTCACTGACTTGAAATTTGTTGGTTTCAGATTGGTTAGAGGATAAGCAAACTGCAGCCCATGGGCAAAATCTAGTCACTTCCACCCATTCATTAACCCGTATGACAGACCTAATGGTCTTCAAAGCCCAATATACTTGATCTGGTTAGTAAAGCAAAAGTTTGCTCTAGATCTTACTGGGAACCAATTGGCCTAAGTTCCAAGTACCTTTAAAGATAAGTTTAATATAAACTTGGAATTAGAACTAAATGGTACATTTTAGGGATATTCATGTATTGTTGGCAGGTTTATCAAACCCATTGTTCTGAATCATGGTGTATGCTGTTTTCTCTATAAATATTTTATACTTCTCACATGAACTGTTAAATTTCAGCAATTTTGAAATCTTTGGGGGGGTTTTGGATTTTCTCTTTGTTTTTATTTGGTGGTGGTGGGATTAAACCCAGGGCCTTATATACACTTAGGTAAGCACTATACTAGTGTGCTGACATCTACAGCCCTTGAAATGATTTCTTGACTTCGTTCTACTCGATAGTACAGTGTGAGGTTTTTAAAAAATACCTGTTTGGGCTTTGGTCTTGATTGCACTTTTTTTTAAAATAAGAATGTAGTCATATTCTTGTTTGTAGACCTTCTGGTTGATTGAGCAGTTGAAGGGTTTATTTCAGTGGATGAGGAAAAAGTTAAGCTGTTGGTAATTTACTTTTGATAATTGGAATTTAAAAATAAATGTTTTCTTTGATTTAGTTCTTCTCACCACTAAATCCAATTCGAGTTCATATTGATATTGGAGCTGATGGCAGAGCAACAGGAGAAGCAGATGTAGAGTTTGTGACACATGAAGATGCAGTAGCTGCCATGTCTAAAGATAAAAATAACATGCGTAAGTCGTGTCCTCGGCATGCTATTTTGTTTCCTAGATGTGCACTGGTTTATAAAAGTCTTATTTATTGAAATAAGTAGAAGAGGTATTAGGATCTGTGTAGATGGCTCTTGGTGCAGTCAAAGTATTCAGTCCGTAATAAAGTTTATACTTTAATGGCTTCCTTAGGCGATTTACCGAAGCATTGATACATATTTTAATTGACTTGCTAAAGCTTTTATTGAAAAATTTGATCCATCGTTCCTCTCATATTACTCTTAACCTTTTTTCTTAAAGAACATCGGTACATTGAACTCTTCTTGAATTCTACCCCTGGAGGTGGCTCTGGAATGGGAGGTTCTGGAATGGGAGGCTACGGCAGAGATGGAATGGGTATGTGAAGTTTTAAAGATAAGCACTATTGGCTTGTTGGCAATTGATCTCAAACTTACTTTTTTTTTTTTTTTTTTTTAAGATAATCAGGGAGGATATGGATCTGTTGGAAGAATGGGAATGGGGAACAATTATAGTGGAGGATATGGTACTCCTGATGGCTTGGGTGGTTATGGTAAGTTTTTCTACTTGGTTTGTGTTAATCCCCAATTGAAATGCCCATAAAAGTGCAGATATTAGTTTTAATATCTGATGCACAGATTTCTTCTGATAAATGATTCTTAATGTTTTTCTCTTAAGGCCGTGGTGGTGGAGGCAGTGGAGGTTACTATGGGCAAGGTGGCATGAGTGGAGGTGGATGGCGTGGGATGTACTGAAAACATAATCGCCAACATACAAGTCCTAACAACAGCATCTGGTCTACTAGACTTTCTTACAGATCTAATTTCTTTTGTATTTTAAGAACTTTATAATGACTGAAGGAATGTGTTTTCAAAATATTATTTGGTAAAGCCACAGATTGTGATGGGAAAATCTGTTTTCTGTAGGTTTTATTTGTTGCATACTTTGACTTAAAAAATAAATTTTTATATTCAAACCACTGATGTTGATACTTTTTATATATACTAGTTACTCCTAAAGATGTGCTGCCTTCATAAGATTTGGGTTGATGTATTTTACTGGTAGCACTACAAACAGTAGTATAGTGTAGTATTAGAGAATAATGGTTCACTTTGATATAAACTACAATTCTTTATAAGCAGACATCTGAAATAAGAGCTTGAATAATTTTTTCTTTAATTTCTCCTGGATAGCACTGTAAATATAAAGCCTAAAGAAGAGTTTAGGTGGCTTGAGGAGTATAAATTCAGCTAATTCTATATTATTCTTTTTCAGATGTCATTTATCAGGCATAGCTCTGAAATGTTGATGATCTAAGAGGTATCTGGATTTCTGAGTATTCCTAATTGTGTTACCTAGGTATGGGAGTGTTGGAAGTTTGAATTCTAGCCCTAGATTTTAGAATACATTTCCCTCAGCACTTGACTGAAGTACCAAAAATGTTTCCAAAAGGTGAGAGTCATAACTTATTTCAGGATGTTTAGAGTAGGTAGGATTCTCAATGACATGAGAATTCAGTGTTAAGTACATAGGCATTTACTATGAATCATAATTCTCACAGATGTATTTTCAGTTTCTTATCCAATCGAGCATATGGGTTTTAAATAAGTGTATAAATGACTACATTTAAAAAATGTAAGACACAAATCCATGTCATAGTCAAAAACAATCCTGCAGTTGGATTTTGTATCTGATGTCAGTTTGGAGTTTTAGTTAAAAATATGTAGCAAGGAAAAGGTGCTTTTTAATTTCATCACTTTGATCAATATGGCTTTTTTTCTCAAATTGGCTTAATGGATCAAAATGAAACCTGTCAATGTGAATTCAGTTACTGAACTTGTTATTTGTTTTTGCTAGAATGTTATTAATGTAATAAATGTCAATGTGGGAGATAATCATGTGGCGTTTGTCCTAGAATGCTTTGTGTTGGTTACTAATTACAACCCATATTGGTAGAAAGCACTGCATATAATATCTAGACTGATTAAAATTTAAAGTGACTCCAAAGGAGAAGGGTTTTTGTTGTTAGAAAAGGAAGTGTTGTGGCATTTATATTTGGAACTTTTTGACCTTTGGCAATGATTCAACTTTCTTCTTTTTTTTCTTTGTATCAAGGATTGGACTCTGTGCATATTAAACATGTACTATACCACTGAGCTTTATCCCCAGCTATACCCCCAGTCATTAGTGCCTATGCCCAGCTTACTTTAATTAGCTACTTAAATATTAAGGCTCAAACAACCTATTTTTAAAAGCCATGTACTTTATTTTCCTAGAACTGTGTTCTTAAAATCTTTAAGCAGTGACAGTATAAAGTTAGAAACGAAAACTGCGTTTATAAAGCAGGCTAATTGTTCAAATCTTTATTTGATTTATAAAATTCACATTTTACTTTTAAAACATTACAGGTTAGAAGAATTACAATCGCAATTCCTTGGCACCATGATCGCATCATTGTGGTAGTACTGGCTAGGTAAGGGAATGGTATACGAAATCTATTTTGAAAACAAAAGTGCAGTAGGTTCATGATCAAAAAGAAAGAATTGTGAAAGTTTTGTAATGGAACACAAAAATCTAAAGTATAAATGGTTTTAAAGTAAGCCAAAACTGAATGAGCAAGTTGTATTATTGTCATTAAAGCTGCTTCCCCCAAAAAAGCCCAAATTAATAGTAAAATGAGTTTTGAATGTTGAAATTTTAAAGGGTGACTAAAAATCCTGGTTTATTTATCGAGTGGAAACTGCCTTGGAATTTAAGCAACTTAAATTACATTTTAAAATTCGTTCCAAGCACATAATTTTTAAAAACCTGTTTGAAAACTTTCATTTATGCTTACTCCTTTTCAGCAGTCATAAAAATGTTAATCTATCCCATCAGTACAAAATGGTTCAAGAATATAATTCTATCTCAAGTACATTTCTGTCAGTATTCAAGAAAGACCATTTAAACTGGGTGTGGTAGCACACACCTATAATCCCAGCAGCTCAGAAGGCTGAGGCAGGAGGATCACAAGTTCGAGGCCAGCCTCAGCAACTTGGTGCGACCCTGTCTCAAAAGAAAAAATAAAAAGGACTGGGGATGTAGCTCAGTGGAAGAAAGCCCCTGGGTTCAGTCCATGTACCACATACACAGACTAACTAACCAACCTCAAAAACTGACTAGAATTTATGGGTTCTGGAGAAAATAGATCTTCAAATAAAACATTGGTTTCTTTTGGGTGGGGGGTACCAGGGATTAGAGGCATTTAACCACTGAGCCACATCCCCAGCCCAATTTTGTATTTTATTAGAGACAGGGTCTCACTGAACTGCTTAGCTCCTCACCTATGCTGAGGCTGGTTTTAAATTCAAGATCCTCCTGTCTCAGCCTCCCAAGCTGCTGGGATTACAGACGTGTGCCACCACGCCCAGCTAAAACATTGGTTCCTTTCTTTGGCAATTTAGTTAAATTTTAAAGGAGATGGTCACATGGAAAAGAGCCTACCAGATAAAAGTACTTGGGGGTCAGGAAGGCATTTGATTGATCATTCAGTGTAATGTTCTTAGGAATGTAAAGTTTCTATGTAGTTTTTGAAAGTGCATGGCTGAAAATTAGATTAATAAAAAAGGAAATAATGTCAGTAGGAGTTTGTTTTCTTATACACAGGCAACTTCATATTAAATTCTTGGTATGGTATAAACAATATAACTTAGTGTTAAGGTTGATTGTGTCTGCATGAACTCTCAATTCTGTGTCATCAGTGGTAAAGTTTAAACATGTAATTCCATATTAATACACATTTTCCCCCCATGGTGCAGGTTTATGTTTTCATGTTTGGGGGAAGGGGGTAACCACACGCAAGAACATCTGCAAATAACTTAAGAGGAAGTTCCTTTCAAGATTAGAAGTAAATTGTAAATACCAAATCACTCCGAAAAAGTATCAGCAAGCACAATGGTTGTTTAGAAAAGATGGAAAGACAATCTTGTAGGATAAAATACTGACCTTTTCTACTGCAAAGAGGGGGGAAAAGGGAGGGAAAATACAGGTGAATATGGAATTCTACCAAAATAATAATTCTGTTGAGTTAGAGAATACTTCTAAAAAGTTTGTGCATTTCCAGTCTCTTTCTCTGAGAGTAGGGAAGCTTTAAAGTGCATTAAGAGAATTACAGGCACCATCAAATACCAACTTGACAGAATTCAAGAAGAAAACAATCTGAAGCCTTAATTTTTAAGAAGGCCTTTTTACAAGATAAGGCAAATGTGTTTGAGCTGTTATATCTGGCCTTTAAATGAAGTGAAGGGTTCCATGATTATTCCATGTAATAATTAAAGTTATTTTAAAACATGCTGTTGGAAATGTAACAATGAGTAAATACCAAATGATACAACTTAATAATTCCCATGAATTAAATATGTAGAAGATAAACTGGTACCAATACTGACTAAAGGCTGCTTATGTCTGGATACCTTGTATGCATTCATTGCAGAAACTTTCATAGGTAAGGATTTAGTTCTGCAATCTTATGGCAAGTTAGATGAGCATCTCTGAATGAGCAGTGCATGACAGGAATCACAGACTCTTACTGGCTTTGGTGAAGAAGGCAAAGGCAGTTCGTTGTCAGAACAGGCATTGCAGAAAATCTCCCCACAGTTTCTACAATGGTGCTATTAAATGAAAAATCAGAGAAAAAAAAATTTGATGAATAAAATGAGAAGCCATTTTTGCACCAAGAGTTTTTGGACTCATTTCCTACCTCTCTTACCTTTCTCTTAGAGAGTGAGAATTCCTTTTCACAAAGCTTACAATGTGTTGCTTCTTTGTCTTTGAGCCAGACCAGTCCCTGGTAGGAAAGAAAAGTATGAAAAATTTACGTGGAATTTTTTTTGCCCAAGGACATTTTATAGTATCAGACATGTAAAGGGAGAAATAAGGGTCTGATAAGTTTTTGGGTGTGGTTTTGGTTTGGGGTATGAGGGATTGAACCCAGGGTTCTTCACCATTAAGCTACATACATCCAGCCTTTTTTTTCCTTTCTTTTTTAGACAGGGTCTCACTAAGTGACCTGAACTAGCCTCAAACTTTTAATCCTCCTACCTCAACCTCCTAAATCTCTGACATTACAAACATGTGCCTGTTGTACCTGGCTGCTCCCTGAATAAAATTTCTAACTGGAATTACGTATTTTTTTGTTTTCTGGTACTGGGGGTTCAAAGTTTCAGGCAAATATTCCCACCCCTCTCACTCTAGATGAGAGAACAAGGTTCAGAAGTTGCTTGCTCAAGGAAATAGCTACAAGCAAACCTAGGACGAGAAGGAAGTAGTGGGCTGCTGCTCTTCAAATAAATTGACTTTTTCTGTCTAGTTCCAGAATTGTAGCCGCTATTATATAAAACACTTCCCTAGAGAAAATAGACATTTGGAAAGAGGGTATCTGGTATTTCTACTGTTAAAAAATTCTCTCTGATGAGGCCTACCACTGAAACAATTTGCTGCCAGCCAACATACACACATGACTTCGGTGAGCTTTGTGCCTTTTGTTTAAATTTGGAGACAAAATATGTCGGGATGCTATTTCTAAAAGGAAAAGTGAGCAAATAGCCTAATGAATATTAAAAGTATATAAACAAATCACATGAAAGGGTTGCACCTCAAAAGTGCAGACCCTAGATTTTAACCCAGCTCACAGATATTAAGGAAACAGGAACAAGTTTATTTTCAGTTAAAATCTGTAATGTGGAAAAGAGTTTGGAGAAGCTGTCCTAAACCCTTCAACTGGTCAATAATATAGAAAAAGAAAAGTCATAAAGCCACTTTCCTACATACAAAAACAGAACTACATATTGTTAAAAATATACATGAATAATTAAGAAAAAGCAAGGTACTGATTGACAGAGTAGTAGCAAGCACTGGGGCCCCTCAAGTATGGATCATGGTTGATTATAAGCTAAGCAAAGGGTATGCAAGTGTTATACAATGTGCATTCTCTGTATACACGATGTTATTTTGCACAGTTTTAATACTGGTTTGAACAAACCATCCCTGTCCCCACCCGTCTCTTGTGAGCAGAAAAAATGAACTGATGTGTAAATCCTTAGAATAAAGGATGTATTGCCCCAAATAAGGGAGTAACCCAAGAAAGATATTATGGGATTCAGACAATAGAAACACACACACAGGATAAGGGGAACTCCAGGAATAGAATCAAAGGGAAATCCAACAGGAGTAATCAGGTTAGACATAAGCAGAACAGAGAACTACAGGAAGGATGATTCCATGGAAAAGTGATAAATTTTGCAGTTTGAAAACCTCAAAAAAACATTTCATAGAGGTGTTCTAGAAGGTATGAGAAAATTGATGTTCAGATACAGCTAACTTAAGAAGAAGAGCAATAATTAACTCCAAATTAAATAGTTACAGTCCTGCCTCCACTGAGCAAGACCCTCTCTAAAGGAAAACTGGGGAGCTAGGAATATGGCTTGGCTATAAAGCACCCCTGAGTTCAACCCCTAGTACCAAAGGGAAAAAGTAAATGCATTTCACAAGAAACTAACTACTGGGAGGACAATGAAGAGAAGGCCAGTGTGAAAGTGGCCAAAACCCATCCATCATATTAGTCAATAACTAGGTTTAAAATTGATTAATCAAGAATAGACAACATACTGCATCTTACATAGAAATGCAATTAGGCCAGAAGAAGCAGGTAAAGGACTTAAAAGTAGATCCCTTTGGGTAGCAGGAGCAAGGGTGGGTAAGGGCCAAGAGTGGAAAAAGAGATGATTACTTTTTGTTTTAAGTCTGTTTAGCACTTTTTTAGATTTAATACTTTGAATTAAAATATAGGTAGACGGTAGAGGTAGAAAGGTACCTATCACTGAAGTTCTCTCAGTATTTTTTATGTTGTAGAAGTGAATTCAAATACATCCACAACTGTATATATGGTAGTGGGGCGTACTATTAATTTAACCCAAAGGCAAATTACTGCTGATCTCCATCCAAAGCCCCCCTTCCACACTTTTTTTTTTTTTTTAATTTTGAGATAGGTTCTTGTCAATTTTCATCTGGAAGATCATTGTAATACTAGACATAAGGGGAGAGCTCTACCCATTGTCCAAGATTCCCATTGTTTTTCAGTACTGGGGATCAAATCCAGGGCCTTACATATCCTATCACTGAGCTATACCCCATCCATAAAATACCTTAGATTTATGCAGGACTTCACCTACTTTTGTAGTTTCATATACCTTTTTGCTTTATGGAAACATTTTCTACTCACCTGCAATGCTTTGTTAGCTTCTTTTATATCTTCTATTTTAAGTTTGGATCTAAAAGATTACAAACAGGTCCAAATTTCAGTACACATTAAAATATAAAACACCTTGTAATTAATTAGAAAGGTATTGGTTTTACAGTTATAATTGTATATAATATATGACTCTAATGATCTCTGTCTGGCATATTTTATATTTTCTAAATGTCCTAAAGGAAAATGCATTTTTAGATTTAAAACTTGGTGGTTTTTTGTTTATTTGTGTTTTGAATGCTGGGATTGAACCCAGAAGTGTTTTATCACTGAGCTACATCTTACCCTTTTTATTTCTTATTTTGAGACAGGGTCTCACTAAGTTGCTTAAGGCCTAAATTGCTGTGGCTGGTATCAAACTTGCAATCCTCCTGCCTCAGCCTCCTAAATTATAAGTGTGCACCACTGCACTTTGCGAAACTTTTTTTTTTTTTTTTTAAGGAAAGAAATAATTGGCACCAGTTGTGGTAGTACATGCCTGTAATCTCGGCAATTCTGGAAGCCAAGGCAGGAAAAATCACAGTTTGAAGTGAGCCTCAGCAACTTAGTGAGGCCCTAAAAACATTCAGGGGTGCTCTACCATTGCTACATTCCCAGCCCTTTTTATTTTTTGAGACAGGGTCTTGCTAAAGTGCTGAGGCTGGCCTCAAATTTGGCAGTTCTTCTGTCTCAACCTCCCACATTGCTGGAATTACAAGCATGTGCCACTATGACCAGTGATTTAGTCACTTCTAAGAAGTCACAAAGGTAGTAATGAGAAAGCCAGAATCCAAACCCTGGTCTATGTAACCTCCAAAGCCCACATTGCTAACCTATATACAAAGTTCATTGGCTGAGGTTGTAGCTCAGTGGTAGAGCCCTTGTCTCACAGACATGGGGCACTGGGTTTTATCCTCAGCACCACATATAAATAAAAATATTTTGTCCATCTCCAACTAAAAAATAATTTTAAAAAAGAAAAAGTTAAGGGGCTGGGGATGTGGCTCAAGTGGTAGCGCGCTCGCCTGGCATGCGTGTGGCCCGGGTTCGATCCTCAGCACCACATACAAAGAAGTTGTGTCCGCCGAAAACTAAAAAATAAATATTAAAAAATTCTCTTTCTCTCTCTCCCTCTCCCTCTCCCTCTCTCTTTAAAAAAAAAAGAAAAGAAAAAGAAAAAGTTAAGGAGATACAGAAGTGTTAATGAAATATGCAGAACACGTATTAGTGATAATTTCCTACCTTTTGAAAATACAAGTTATTGAAAATTCACATAATAAAAAGCAATGTTTAATTACCTAGATTCCAATACCGAGGGATGATTTTCTCTACATGTCTATGAGTGTGTGTGTATATGTTTACATGGAATCATTACCTACATAGTTTTTTATAACCAGCTCTTTTTCTCCTAGCAAAGTATCCTGAACAGCTAAAGGCTATTGGTTGTTACTAAGTATCTGCTTCATATTATATTAAATGACTACATGGTGGGACTGGGGCTATAGCTCAGTTGGTAGAGTGCCTGCTTTGCATGCACAAGGTTCTGGGTTCAATCCCCAGTACCAAAAAAAGCAATAATAAATGGTTACATGTTATGTATCATTAAAAAAGGATGTGAAAGTTATATCTACTGTTGAACTTTCAATTTTCTCTCCACAAAAGTTTGTTAAAAAATTGTTTGTACAAGGTATAAGCTGTACTGGTCTGTATGTAGTCTCAGCTACTCAGGAAGCTGAGGCAGGATCACAAAAACCGTAAAATGGAAACAATAGTGCTGAGAATGTAGCTCAATGATAAAGTACCCCTAGGTTTAATGCTTGTACTTCCGGGAGGGGCTGAGGCAGAAGGATCCCAAATTCCAATCTGGCCTCAGTAAGGCCCTAAGCAGTTCAGTGATGTTCTCTCAAAATTAAATTATTAAAAATAAATAAATAAAAAGGGCTGGGGATGTGGCTCAGTATCCCTGGGTTCAATCTCCAGTACCAAAAAAAAATTCTGACCCTCTCCATGTTTTAGGGACTATGATCTCAAAAGTAACAAAGGAAAATGGACAAAAGGTTGCATGTAAAAATTGAAATATTAACAAGGGAAAAACATGCTACAAACTAATAATGAATGACAAACTAGAAAAAAAATGTGCCATAATTGATTTTTCAAAGATCCCATGAATAATCCAAAAAATGTACAACAGTCACTTTACCAAAAATAAACTACATATAATAATGGAATAAACATGATCAACCTGGCTCATGATTAAAAAATAATATTCTTTTTTTTTTTTTTAAACTCTTTGGTACTTCCTACTACAAGAAAGATGACAAAAACTTTACATGCTGGGCAGTGGCACATGCCTGTAATCCCAGAAATTTAGGAGGCTGAGGCAGGAAGATTGAAAGTCCAAGATCAGCCTCAGCAACCCTGTCTCAAAAATTAAAAAGGATTGGGGAATATAACTCAGTAGTAAAGCACCACTGGGTTCAATCCCTAATACCAAAACAAAACTTTACAGCACATTCTTTTTGGCCCAACAGTTCAAGCTATATCAACATATGATTTTCTTTGGTACTGGAGATTAAACCTAGGACCTCAACCATGTCAGGTCAGTACTACATTCCTAAGCCCAAAATATACATAGAAGATATTCACAGCAGTACTGCTTACAAAAGAAAAGTTTGACTTATCTTTTTTTTTGTACCTGGGATTGAACCCAGGGGTGCTTAACCACTGAGCCACATCTCTAGCCCTTTTTTATATTTTATTTAGAGATGGTCTTGCTAAATTGCTGAAGCTGATCTTGAACTTGCTTCAGCCTCCTGAGTTGCTGGGATTACAGGCATGTGCCACTGGGCCCAACTATCTAGCACATAAATAAAACAACTTCAAACTACAAAAGAATAAGCATTATATGGAATTAGGTATGCAAGGTAAGAGAATAATTCAGTAGTCAAAATAACCCTTGAAAATCCCTTACACATAGCTAGCCCATAAATTCACTTATAGATTGTGTAGTATATCTAACCTGTGCGGTAATTTCCCTGCAAACTAAAATTTGAGAAGCAGTGAACCAGACTAAAGTAAATAACAAGGGTCTGAAAGCAGCACCTAGATCTTCAAATGACCACCTCTTTAATACAACTCTACAAAGTCTCTGGAACAGGTGAAAATTAACATATTCCTTATTTTACTATGCCAGTATGCTCTAATATTAAACTTTTAAGATCTCAGTAAATGGAGATATTTTTGTTTTCACTATTTAGATTATAAATATAGTGCCTGCACATGGAGGAAGCACAATAAGTACCTGTGAAATACTGGGAAATATAGTAACAAGCACTTAGCCACAGGGTCAGGCTCAAAGTGCTCAACAAATGGATGTCAGATTGAAACTGATATCTTTCTTTCAGAAACATAATACAAATTGTTCTGTGAAAAGCTATACAAGTTAGGTGCAGTGGTGCATGCCTGTAATCCTAGCACCTGGGTGTAATCCTCAGTACCACCAAAAAATAAAAGGTACAGAGATAAAAATACATTTATCTATAATAGTTCATATTTTTATCTTATATTTAAACCTCCCCTGCCCTTTAAACCTCCCCTGGCCTTTGGTACTGCAGTTGAACCCAGGGGCATGCCACCACAGAGAGCTACATTCCCCAGCCCTTGCTTATTTTGAGATAGGGTCTCACTAAATTGCTGAGGCTGGCCTCAAACTTGTGCTCTTTTCTCTACCTAAGCCTCCTGGGATTACAGGTATATTCACCACACAGCTGTATTTAAACCTTTCTAATTAGTTTGATGCCTTCATGAACCTTTAATAATTGTCAATGACTACTTAGTTGAAGGGGAAAAAAATTACTCGCTAAGTTTGTTGCCAAGTTCTTGAAGAGCTTGCTCTTGTTCACGATATATTTTTTTCAACTGCTGATTTTCATCCTGGAGGTTAAGAAACTCCTGTCAAAACAATAAAAGACAGAAAATGTGATTTAAAAGGAATGAGCAACTTCACATTGTATATGTATCATTAATTAGCATCCTTAAGCTTTTTATAAAAAACAAAACTGTATCCAAACTCCTTTCCTAGTTGCTCTGTGTATCAGCTACTTCACATTTTTCATATTTACTTAAATCTCTTTACTAATAATTTTGACAAGAAATAGTATGACCTGTATGTATATTGTGTCTAAGTTAACTTTAAAAGAAGACAACATTCGCTGGGTGTGGTGGTACACCCTTGTAATCCCAGCAATTCAGTTGACTAAAGCAGGAGGCTCACAAATTTGAGGCCCACTATGGCAATTTAGCAAGCCCCTATCTCAAAATAAAAAGATCTGGGTGTGCAGCTTAGTGGTAGAGTGACCCTGGGTTCATTCCCCAGTACCGAAAATAAATAAAATAAATTTTAACATAGGTGAATATTTGTCAAAAGATATAATATTTAAAGTTTTACTACAATTTACTTTTTTAAGATTAGTGATTTGTTGGGTCTCATTTTTAAGATGAGATAAGGCATCTTTCTCCTTTTGAAGATCTTCCTGCAAAGTCTGTCTCCATTCCTTCTCAATCTTCAGATCAGTTTCCAGTTGGATCCTTAAATGACAAATAATACACAGAAGCTCAGTACCACTTCTTACATAACAGTTAAATGTATTCCTTAATACAAGCATCCTCTATGATCACAGAAATGCGTTTTGGTTGATTAATTTTGCCTCTATGATGCATTTCTGTGTTTTTCTTTTCTTTCTCTTTTTTTCTTTTTTGTACCAGGGATTGAACCCAGGGCCCAGGGGCATTTAACCACTGAGCCATATCTCCAGCCCTTTTTTATTTTTTGAGACAGGATCTTCCTAAATTGCTTAGGGCCTTACTAAATTGCTAACACTTGAACTTGCAATCCTCCTGCCTCACTCTCCTGAGTCACTGGAATTACAGGTGTTTGCCACCATGTCTGGCTTCATTTTGGTAAACAAATTCAGCACAGGTTTTTTTGTTTGTTTTGTTTTTTGTTTGTTTTCCTTAAACAATACTGGCAATTGAACCCAGGACTTTGCACATACTCAGCAGGTGTTCTACCACTGGGCTACACCCCCAATAGGGATTTTCTGAACACATTTGCCAGCCACAAAAAAATAACTGCTAAACAATTTGTCATTTTGTTGATATACATTAGAGTTGTATAAGTATAGAAAATGTCTTGGAAGGGTATATACCATACTATTAAAACTTTTATCTTGGGGATTCAACTCAGAGGAGCAACGTGGGGTTTTAATTGTTTACATTTCTGTGCCATGTGAAAAATTTTAAAACAATCTAATGAAGGGGATTGATAATTACAATTGTTAAATGAATGTAATATCAGTAACAGCAAAATCTGCCCTGATGTAAAGTGCTAATTTGAAGATTACTGTTGGAAGCTGACCAGCTGCAGGATAGATCCAAAACCATGCCGACTATACTGTGTGGAAATGCTAGTTCTCATCTGAAAGCACTCCTACCTATATCATTCTAACAACAGCTGCTAGCTGGCAAGACAAAAGGTGTTGAAGTGTAAATTTTTTATTTATTTATTAATTATTGGTAATGAGGATTGATCCTGGGGGCACTTTACTACTCAGCCACATCCTCAGCCCTTTTTTAAATTTTAAGACAGGGTCTCACTAAGCTCAAAATTTTTAACAAAAGTGGGGAGGCTGCTGAGAATGTGGCTCAGTGGTTAAACACTACTGGATTTAATTCCTGATACCCAAATAATAAATAATTTAAAGGGAAGCCAGGCAGGCGTGTTAGCACACTGGTAGTAATCGCAGTGATTCAGGCCAGCCTCAGCAATCTAGCAAGATACTGTTTCAAAATAAAAAGTAAAAAGAGCTGGGGATGTAACCTGTGGTAAAGTGTCCCCAGGTTCAATCCCCAATACCTCTTAAAAAAATTATATATACACACACACAGAATGATCCTAATTCTCAAAAAACAAAAATACTGATATATATTAAAGTGTTATCCACGTTCTTTTAATTTTCTTCATGCTTCTCCATGATTCCTTATGTTTTGGCCAAGAGCATATAATCTTTTCATAATCAGAAACTGATAAAAGTTATTCCATATTAGGGGAAAATCTAGAATTCATTTTTCTCTAACAAAGTTTATCAACTGACTGTTCCTATACATACAGTTCCAATGTCAGAGATTTCCTCGGTCTCCAAATTGTTAACATGTTCATGCCCTCCAAAAAGGCACCAACTTAGAGAAAAAAATTAAAGTTTCACCAGTTATAAATAAATAAATAAATATTTTTTAAAAATAAAGTTTCACCAGTGACAGACATATCTCAACAGCTACACCTAGGTCTTAGTAGTTAGTTTAGCCTTACAAAGAAAGGGGTAGGTCCCTGTAGCATTGTTTAGGTCATCCTTTGGGCAGGGATCAAATAACAATATCAGAGTAAGTTGTAACATTGCAAAATAAATATCAATTTTGTCTTGCATGTTTTTGTCAAATGCTAAAAAAGGTGATTTAGTAACAGAGTATCTGGATTTCTATGCTATATTCTACTAATTGGCAAAGTGTCCCAATCTTTTGTTTCCATGTGTTTTTATTTGGCAAAGCACAGGGACTTAAAGCCCTTGGCACTGCTACTGAACTTGTGACATGAATGCTCCTTGTAACTTTTATTGCCAAAGGAAGTCCTGAAAAAGTACTATCCTTTATTATTTTTATTATTAAATGTTTTTAAAGTACTGGGTGGGGTAGTAGAGGCACAGTGGATAACCCTCGGTACCCTTGCGAACTTGGCGCTGCAAGTGGTGCAGAGTATGCTAGCTGCCTCCTGCAGCCTTTGTGTAGGCCTGGCGCCCGCTGTGCTGGGCCCCCCAAAGCCCTGTCGCCTGATGGGGGTGCCATTCGGAAGCTGTGCACTGCTCACAGGACCCACTCTGCTCTCCGTGCATAAATTTACAGAGGAACATGAATGGATAACTATAGAAAATGGTATTGGAACAATGGGAATCAGCAATTCTGCACAGGAAACTCTGGGAGATATTTATTGCAGTCTATCTGAAGTAAAGAAACATATGAGAAATATGTAAAATGTATTGAGAAGTACAAATGGCACCCTAAGTAAACTAGTGTAGAATAACTTAAGCAGTTGTCTTAAATTAGTGGTAAAAGAAGATTTAAAAAGAAACTACTCTCCACACTGCTAACTGGAAGAAGATTACTCCTTAAATTTCCAGTGACTACAGATAAACACTGTATGCATGAATCTTTTTTACTTTTTTTTATGATTTTTAGAGTTAAGATTTAGGCTCTGATTTCAGAATTCATGAAATTATCTGTGGTAAAAACTACTTATAATAGACATGTAATTCAAGGATAAGCCTTATAGAATATTGTAACTTGCTTATATACATCCCTGGATTTGGATTAACATATTTAATGATCTTCCCATTGGAAAAAACTAGGTGTGGAGGAAAGTGTGTCAGAAGAACAATTCTGTCTTAATTTTATAATATGCTGCATTTTCTGGTGAAAATGCTATTTTTATACACTGAAATAACAGCTTGCAACGAAAACAAAATATTCAACTTCATTAAGTTTTTTTGGAAACAGAGTCTCTCTAAATTGCCCAGGCTGGCTTTGAACTTGTGATCCTCTTGCCTCAGATTTTTTTTTTTTTTTTGGTAATTTTATTTATTTTATTAACTTTAGTTGTTGATAGACCTTTATTTTTTATTTATATGTGGTGCTGAGAATCAAACCCAGTGCCTCACACATTAGAGGCAAGCGCTCTACCACTGAGCCACAACCCCAGCCCCTCAGATTCTTGAGTAGCTGGAATTACAGGCCAGTTCCTGGACAGATGCTGGGTTTCAGTTTATAAATGATAAAGTAAAATGATACTTAATATTTAAGTTTTTAACCAAGGTAAAATTTTCTGGCCTAAAGCCTTGTTCTGTATACTAATTCCTCAAAATATTATTTTTGGCATATTTAAAAGGAGGCTAAAGAAGGAGGACAGCGAATTCAAGGCTATCTTTAGCAACTTTTTGAGATCCTGTCTCAAAAAGTAAAAAAGGCTAGAATGTAAAGTGCCCCTGAGTTCAAGCCCCAGTATTGCTTAAAAAAAAAAAAGATTCCAGACAATTAAAAACCTCTAGATATTATATATAAGACATAAGGAGAGAAGGCAAATGAGCTAGGAACCCCAGGATTCAAGGAACAACATGGTAGTGAGTTTCCAGAGGCTTCTTTTTTTTTGTCTCCAGGTAGCTCGGCTTGGATGTTGAAGATTTTGTCCCATACATAAATACCTATGGGCACAGACAAGAAGAGCAAAACAAAAGAACCTTCACATGAAGTGTGTTGTCTTACCAAAGTTCTGAGAAAGAGACAGTCTAATGAGATAGAAACTTTTTGACAATGAATGCCCTATCCCAGCAAAACACCAAAGGCAGGGGAGATGGGGAAGACATGGCCTTGAGTAGGGAGCCTAGAAGTTATTGGGTATCTTTCTCCATCCCCTCTGGGATGGTCTTGGGCTTTCATCCCCACTTGGTATAAAGGGTCACTGCTAAAACAGATCTAAATAAAATCCAGAATGTTATAATACCCAAAGTATTCAAGATGCAATTGAAAAACATCTGTTATACAAAGCCCTAGAAAATCTCAACTCAGATGAAAAAAGAATCAACAGATGCCAACATGTCAGACAATGAGAATTTTAAAGCAGTCATGTTGGAAATGTTCCTATGACCAATTATACTTTCAAGAATAAGAAGTCTTATCAAGGAGAGACAAGACAAGGACAAAGAGAAAACAGAAAAAAAGTCAAATAGAAATCTTAGAACTGAAAAATTCAATAGTCTCAAGAGAAGAATAAAGATGATGAGGAAAGAATGAATTAACCCTGAAAACAGAACAAGTCAAATTACCCAGTTTTCCCAGTTTTAATAACAGAAAACAGATTGGGGCAGAAGGAACTGTCTCAGGGACCTTGGGAGTATGAAGAAAAAGTCCACAGTGTTGCACACCTGTAATCCCAGCTACTTAGGAGGCTGAAGCAAGAGGATCACAAGTTCAAGGCCAGCTTGGGCAATTTAGCAAGACCTGTCTCAAAATTTTTATTTTATAAAAGGGCCAGGGATATAGTTAATGAAAACAACCTTCAGAAATTAAAGTAAAATAGAATGTGTTGCCAACAGACTGACCCTAAAAGGATAGACCTACCTGAAAAAAATGGCTAAGAAAAAATAGAGATTCAAAAAGGAACCTCAGGAATGAAGAAATGAAAAAAGAATAAGGGAAAGATGAAAAAGAGCAAACAATGACTTTTTAAAGTTAATTATGTTTAATGGTTGAAACATATAAAATTGGTATATTCTCAATATATAGAAAAAATATTTAAGCAAACTATAAAGGGGAGACACTCAATCACTACAGATAAATCAAAACCCGAAATGAAATTTTCATGTTCACATAACCCATGAGAAGGCAAGAAGACTCAAACAGAGGAATGGAAAACAACAACAACAAAAATAAATAAATAAATGACATTTGAGCTTGAATAAATCAATAATTAACATTAAATGTAAAAGGACTAAATGAACTCAAAAGACTAAGTTGGCAGGATTGATTTAAAAAAAAAGTATGGTATCGTAAGAAACTCATTTCAATATAAGATAAAGGTGGGCTGAAAGTTAAATTATGAAAAAAATGCAAGCATAAATCAACAGAAAGTAGGAACAACTATTTTAATACCAGAAAAAGTAAACTTCAGAGTGAAGAAAATTACCAAAGAGACAAGACTATAATATAATGACCAGAGGGTCAATCCACCAAGAAGACATAGCAATCCTAAATGTATGGGCAGCAAACAATAGAGCTTCAGAATAAAGCAAAAACTGATAGAACCAAAAATAGAAATACATAAGCCCAGAACCAAAAAAAATAGAAATACATAAGTTCACAATTACAGTTGGGCATTTCAAAAAACTGGGGATATAGTTCAGTGGTAAATCTCCCCTGGGTTCAATCCCAGTACCAAAAAGGAAAAAAAAAAAATGCACCTAAGGGCTGGAGTTATAGTTCAGTGGTAGGATGCTTGCCTAGCATGTGCAACACCCTGGGTTTCATCCACAGAACCACATGTAAAAAAAAGAAATATATCTAACCTACTGAATATTATAGTAATAGAGTATTGGTTGTTTGCTTTCAGGATGGCATGGCTGACTAGGAATTATGGCTTGCTGCCACCGCACAGGATGGTGAGAGTGTCATACCCTGTCACCAAAACTCAAAGTACACTTTCTACAGAATAGTTTTTTCACCATCATAAAGTCAAAAAAAAATCACAAATTGAAACACTAAGTTGGGGACCATCTGTTATTGATAATATTACTAGACATAAAACTAAAGGCAGCTTAGAAACTTACACAGCATACATGCTTGTTTCAATGATATGTTAACATAATACATAGATCTCTATTTTTCATTGTTGTTTGCTTTAAATAACAAAAGTGGTATACATATTTCCTGGGGGGAAATATTGATGTTTATAAAATAAAAACTAAAACGCAGGGGATGGGTTTGTAACTTGCCTAGCACGCATGAGACACTAGGTTCAATCCTCAGGATCACATAAAAAAAAAATAAAGTTGGGGCTGGAGTTGTGGCTCAGCGGTAAAGCGCCCGCCCTGCATGTTCAAGGCCCTGGGTTCAATCCTCAGCACCACATAAAAATAAATAAGTAAAATAAAGGTACTGTGTACAACTACAACTAAAAAATAAATATTTAAAAATTATTAAAAAATATATTTTAAAAAAACTAAAATGCAGCCAGGTGTGGTGGTACACACCTGTAATCCCAATAATTTGGGAGGCTGAGGCAGGAGGATCACAAATTCAAAGCCAGCCTCAGCAACTTAGCAAGACCCTGTCTCAAAATACAAAAAATTTTTAAAAGGGCTAGGGACTAAGGATGCAGCTCAGTGGTACCCCTGAGTTTAATCCCTAGTGCCAAAATAGTCATAATAATAATAATGAGAGGGCTGGGTGTGTAGCCCAGTGGTAGAATGCTTGCCTAGCACGTGTGAGACACTGGGTTCAATTCTCAGCACCACATATAAATAAAAGTCCATCAATAACTTAAAAATTTTTTTAAATTAATAATGGGAATAAAAACATAAATATTACCATAAATACATTTTTTTAAATGTTTGATTTTTTTTTCAGGGCTGGGGATTGAAACCAGGGCCTCATGTATGTTAGGCAAACACTCTTCCACCAAACTTCATTCCCAGCCCAATATTTTTTTTTTTAAAGTGAACATACTGGCTGGTATCACCGGATAAATAAAAACATTGGTATTCTATCATATGTGCCAAAAAGGTAGGGTGGGTGGATCATATTAATACAGTTTTTGTTTCCAAGAGCAAAATACTCACAGCTGTTTCTCCTTTTGAGAGATTTGTTTCTGCAGACTGTCGGATTGACTCAGACACTCTTGTAGATATTTCTCATCCTCATCTTCAGCTTCCATTTGCGCCTTCTCTGCTTGCTGCAATCTGGTGTAATTCAAATCAACTTTGGGTAAAACTGAGGCTAGAACTAGGGTGTAAAAGGGTGAAGAAGACAAATAAAAGAAAAATGGGGAAATAGAAACATTTCTAAATGAAAACAAAGTTTGGGGGAAAACTCACAAACTCAAACGTGAAAGAGCCACACAATGTCTAGAAACTGTTTTTGTGATTTTTTTTTCAACACAACATATAATATGCCCAGAATACTATCTTCAAATTTGTTTTATTTCTTGTTCATAATTAACAATGCAAAGCAATACAGTCTTTACCATTTATCTAGAGCATAATGAATCGATAGGTATGTTACTGCCTTTTTACAAAACCATGAAAACTATAGTACTTATGTCTATACTAGGTGAAGAGGCCACCTGCTGTATGTTATGCTAAGATGTCTATGCCAGGAATCAAGTGTGCTATGGGGCCAAGAGCAAAGACCTACAATAACTCCAATAACAGCAGGATCCTTCCTAGAGGATCTTTATGCATTTACTAAATAATGCCAAAGCTCTATTATATGTGTGTATGTGTGTGTGCATTTAAGATTCAAAAAGAATTTAGTGCTAGTTGGCACCATTCTCTAGAGATCATTTTTGTTCCTCACTACCAAACATTAAAAATTAGCTAAAAACATGATTTTCAATTTTTCCTGTTTTTCTTTGTAAGTCATTGCTTCTCCCCAGCCTTAGCTCCACTCCCTACCTCCCTTGGCCATCAAGATTTCTGAGACTTGACTTCATTATTTTATAAGAAAATATTTCCCAAGATTCAAGGACATTAATTCCTTGTAGGGAATCGCAAGAGAAATTTCTGTTCTACTAACCAAAAAAAAAACCTGCCTCTTCCTTTCTAGAGCCTTTCTTTTTTTTTTTTTTTGGTGTGTGTGTGTGTGTGTGTGTGTGTGTGTGGTGCTGGGGATTGAACCCAGGGCTTTGTGCCTGTGAGGCAAGCACTCTACCAACTGAGCTATATCTCCAGCCCCTCTAGAGCCTTAAAGCCTCTTTAAGAGCCTTAAAATCATACTAATGGGGTAACCCTCACATATTTCAAGAGTATAAATGCTGCTTCCAAGGAAAGGAGAGTAACTAAGTTACTAAGTTATCTCTAAGTTTAATTTAAATTAAAATATTAAGGCAGTGGGGGTGGACCCAAGCTCTTATCTAAGGATACAGAAAGTAAAATAAAAGTCAGTGAGGTAGGCCTTGAAATTGTGCTATCACAGAAGAGGGCTAGAGGGAACTGGAAAACTGAAAAATGCTAAAGCACAGAATGATGGCCAATCTGGATTGTAAACTATATTAAAACATATTTAAAAATCAGTAAGGGAGCCATGAGGCAAAGAGTGGGCCAATGTTGGGGGAAATATCTGTGCCAACATATTGTGAAATCAAAAGTTAACTTATTTTATTTTTATATTTTTCCATCAAAAAGTAGCTAAAAAGATAAAACTGCATTTGAAAATCCTGACCTCCAAACGGTCAATACTCAAATCAGCCCTTGTGCACAAGGTTTGAGGAATGTATTTTTGTAAATCCAAGTGCACCTGTCTGCTTTATGGCAGTGTACTACCACAGCAGCCAACCAAGAAATGTACAGGGCTCCTTCCTAATATCCTTTTAGAATACTTAATAGCATAAATTCTTTTCTATTTAGTATATTATAAAATTGTGGGTTATATTTCAATCTGTTCAACACAAATGGTTTTCAGAAAGATATATCTTTGACCAGCTTGTACTGGTCCTGAGTGTCACTGCTGGCACATTTCACCAATGACATTGCAATTGTCCTAGTTTGAGTTAGCAAATCATTGTCACTTCATAATGGAATGGACAGAAATCAAAGACAGAAAAAGGTAATAAAGATGTCCAAAATGTAAAAATGGGGATAAAGAAAACAAAAAAGAAAAAAGAAGAAAGAGGATGTCAATAAAAGAATATCCATGTCAATAAAGCATTAATAGTTATGTTTTTCATAAATAGATTCAAAGAAAGCAATGATAAGACATATGTTGACATCAACATGACAGGGCAATGGAAATACATTACATTTTCCAACAATAAAAGTGAAAAATGCCAATATAAAACGATTCAATTTAAACAAAATTGTATCTTGGGTTGGGTTGAGGGTCCTAGCTCCAAGAAGCAAAACTAAATAAACAACTAGTTCAGATGCTTGATTTCAGATAAAGAGATGGTGAATGGCAAACAGTATGACATTTCATATGCATGGAAATCAATCAGGGATAATCCCAACATTCATTTTGTTCACTATTAATTTTTTCACGTTTTTGTTTGTGTATGTTTTAGGTAATAGACTGAACCACATGAAATTGCTGGCATTAGGCCTTAAAAAAAAAAAAAATCTACAAGATGGGGACTTCAAATGAATCAGCCCAATATAAAGCAACTTGATTCCATGCAACAACCAAAACAAAAAAATGCAAAATCCTGTTCAGCTTAAACAAAAAAGTGCTAAACTATATCTTCCTAATTTTTTTGTGGCAAATGTCAGAGCTAAATAAAGAAAAAGGAGGGAAGAAGGAGAAAAAAGAAACTAGTACTAGAAATGCTGTACCTTTGTTCCAGCTGCCTCATGGCTACAGTAATTTTATTGGTTTTTTCTTCTAGTCGGGCAATTATTTCATTTTTTTCTTTCAAGCCATCTTCATAACCCTTTTTACAAAGACATAAAAGCCACAGTGGTTTTCATTTTTAAACCTGAATGTTTATGCTTCCTACAGCATTTTGCAATGGGATTGTTACTTTAAATGAGCAGGATTAATTTACACATTAAAATAATGCTATGATATAAAATAGTGCTACTAGTCTTCATTTAAAATAAAGAAAAAACTCAAACTTCAATGTTTTTGGAAGACAACAGGATAAATTCATGTAGAACAGGCCATTTTAAAAATTAATTAAATTGTAAAGGGCTTTCAGCAACAAGTCTACTTAATAACAATTTTACCACTCTATTAGAAAATTCCAACTATGATCACAAAGTATTGCCATCAAATTGAAATCTTTCTCAGGACCAGTGTGTGAAGAAGTTTACCAAAATATATTACAAATTTAGATTTGAGAGTTTTTCCGAAAGATTTAATCTTGATACTAGGAGCTCTTGATAACTGTGATTTAGAGTATGTGTTTAGCAGATGCAAGGCCATGGGTTTAATCCCCAGAGCCCATCATGCACACATACACACAGGTTATATTTAACTTGTTCCTCGATGTTTTCATTACATTTTTGGAGAGGAGGGGGTGGTACTGGGGATTGAACTCAGAGGTGTTTTATCTCTGAGTTCAATCCCCTGTACCCTCAAAAAAATAAAAAATAAAAACCAAACCTTTCCTACAAATATTTGTCTTAATTTATATAAAAAGAAATTGGGCTGGGGGTGTATTTCAGTGTCTGAGCATTTGCCTAGTATATGCATAAGGCCTGAGCAATACAAAAAAAAAAAAAACAGAGAAAAGAAAGATAAAGAAAAATTGTAAGAACTGAACATTCTTTACCTGTAACTTTTGATACATCTCTATGTTAATTGCTTTAACCTCCTCTAGTTGTTGTCGAAGGCCTATTAGAGTATCTTGTTTCTCATGGATATCTTTCTCCAACAACTTCATGGCAAGTTCAATCTCATGTTTCATACTAACTTGTACTGATAGCTCATTCTCCACATCCTGCAATTTAAACATATCTTCAATTCACATGCCACTTCAAGATGTCAAAATCAGGGCTGCGGTTCTGGCTCAGTGGAAGAGCGCTTGCCTCACGTATGTGAGGCATTGGATTCATTTCTCAGCACCACATGTAAATAAATGAATAAAATAAAGTTCCAGGGCTGGGGATGTGGCTCAAGTGGTAGCGCACTCGCCTGGCAAGCATGAGGACTGGGTTTGATCCTCAGCACCACATAAACATAAAAGATATTGTGTCCACCTAAAACTAAAAAATAAATATAAAAAAAAATTTAAAAAATAAAGGTCTATCAACAACTAACTAACTAAATAAATAAATGTCAAAATCAGCTACAGGACAATAAATGAGATCAGGAAAGATTTACTACTCTCTCAAAACTTTTAAGTCCACTAAAGGAAATCAACCAGGTCTATAACAACATAATTTTAAATATTTTCAAATGTATTTTTTACTGAAATGAAGATATCTTGTGGGCTGAAGTTGTGGCTCAATGGTTAGAACACTTGCCTAGCATGTGTGAAGCACTGAGTTCTATGCCCAGCACCACATAAAAATAAATAAAGGTATTGTGTCCATCTACAACTGAAAAAAATTTTTAAAAGAAAAAGAAAATATCTTCTATATTCTGTTAATCATTATTATTCTAATGTTTAAGAATATTTTATGCCTTATAAATTCAGTATTAATTTTTTTGTAAGCAAAAGCTAATGAAGCAACAAGTAAAGACCAAAGATAGCTCAAGACAAGTTTAATTTTTTAAAGAATTTTTGTCAGATTAAGAAGTTTCCTGGGGCTAGAGTGGTGGCTCAGTGGTAGAGTGCTCACCTAGCATGCATGAGGCACTGGGTTTGATCCTCGGCACCACATAAAAACAAACTAATATATCCACATAAAAAAACTAAAGATACATAAATAAATAAATATTTTAAAAAAAACAAGTGTCCTAATGTTACAAACAGCAAAAGGGAACAAAAAGCTGGCAATATTCTCCTCTTGACCTAGGTAGTGGTTACAGTGTTATAGATTAGGCTGAACATTTATTTTTTCTGTACATTACATAATTTAAAGGGCTAAAAAAAAAGTTAATTTTAAACACGACTTTACCAATATTTGCATATTTAATTCAATTCTATTTCATTTTTTGCAATGTTGGTCACAATTCATTCATTTTATAACCATAAATTATAACTCAACAGTTTCAAAAATGCTAATGGAGTGGGCATTAAAAACTCTGAGAGCATTAAGGAGGTGAATTTGCTATCCCACATCAAAGACTGGAAGATTCAAAATGGTACTTGCTTGAAGGTAAATTATTCCCAGGATTTTGCTAACTAACTTGAATGGAAGCTACCTGTCGTAACTGAGATTCCTCTCGAAGCTGCCTTCTGGCGTCATTATACATCTCATCCAGCCCCTGCCGAGAATGCTTATATGTTTGAAGTTCTGTTTCCACATCCACTTTGGTGACCTAGGAAGAAAAGAACAAAACAACTTGTGTTTGTGTTTTGTCTTGTTTTGTTTGTTGCTGGGAATTAAACCAAGAAGCTCTTTATCACTGAGCTACATCTGTGAGGCAGAGTCTTGTTCAATTGCTGGGGCTGGCCTCAAACTTGCCAACCTTCTGCCTCAGTCTCCTGGGTATCGGGAATGACAGGCAGGCATCACCATGATTGGCTAAGAAAACAAACTTTTTATTCTATAATTACTACTATTAATATAGCACAGAAATATCTATATTAAGCAAAAGTCCCTTAATTTCTGACACAGGATGATCTGTCTGGAAGCAGTCTGTACTTACCTCTAGGTGCTGCTGTGTCTTCATTAAAATCATTTTATTTTCACTCCGTAATTGATGGTTTTCTTCTTGGAGTTTAATAATATTATTCTTTGCTATTGCTAACTAAATATTATGAAACAAGAACAAAGAAAAAAGATTTTAAACATACTTGCCTTACAGGTTATGTTCATGGCTATAAACAGAAAATAAAATCCTAAAACTAGTAAAATGTCTTACACTTACAAAAATTTTCATGAGAAAAATGTGTTATTTATTATCCCAAGATACCAATTAAAAATTATTTCCTCTTGTACTATTTTCTACTATTTCCTTTTGTCATTAAAACACATTAAGCTTATTTGTTATGCTTATAACAATCATGTTATGCTTACTGTGAGGTTTATAATATGTCCAGAATGCAAAGTCTGTGAGCATTATATAAATAAATATATATATATGTACTCAATTATGCATTAAACAAGATGATAATAAATCCTTGTGTAAAAATAGAAACACACATAAGAAAAGAAGGTTGTGCTATCATTGAAAATGTAACAGGATAACTGTGCATGGTAACTCATGCCTGTAATCCCAGCAACTCAGGAGACTGATGCAGGAGAATGGCAAATTCAAGGCCAGCCTCAGCAACTTAGAGAGAATCTGTCTCAAAATTTAAAAGGCAGCTGAGCTCAGTGATGCATACCTGTAATCTCATCAGCTTGGGAGCCCGAGTAGAAGGATCTCGAATTCAAAGCTAGCCTCAGCAACTTAGCAAGGCTCTAAACAGCTTAGCAAGATCCTATCTCAAAATAAAATATAAAAAGGACTGGGGATGTGGCTCAGTAGTGGAGTATCCCTGGGTTCAATTCCCAGTGCCACACATGCACCAAAAAGAAGAGGCACGAACTAGTAAGCAGCAATAATGGACCCAATGAGTCCAATCATCAACATAAAGATAGATTTTGAATTGCAATACTGTAAAGCATCAAGTATTCTATGATTTAGAAAGAGCAGGCCAATTCTCTTTTTTATTTTTTATTTTTATTGTAGATAGACACAACACCTTTATTTTATTTATTTAGTTTTATGTGGTGCTGAGGATCCAACCCAGTGCCTCACACATGCTAGGCAAGCGCTCTACCACCGAACAACCCCAGCCCCAAGAACAGGCCGATTCTTAAAGAATTAAGAATTTTAATTAACGTGGAAAATACGGTTCATAGTACTAATAACAGGCTTCTTCTAGTCTAAAAAATCTTGAAAATAGGAAGCAAAAGTTCTTTGATTTGGTAGATATTTATTTTGAGCCAGAGTCTCACTAAACTGCTCAAGGTGGCCTCAAACTTGTGATTCTCCAATCCACAGATTCCCACGTAGCTGGGATTAAAGCCATACACCACCACTCCTGACTGATAGATTTTAACTTTTCTAGAAAAATAACTGCAAATAGTTTGAACAAGACAGTTGAGACAAGTTTTTGGTTCTTCAAATGAGCTCTCAGACTCCTGGATTGCCACATTCACAACAGAGGAAACCAGGACAAATGGGATGACTTTTACACATGAGAGGGTTGAAGAAGGGCAGACACAACCATGCAATGATGCTTGTGAAGAAAAATAAGCTGAATAGTGGAAAAACAGGGACACACAGTGTCAATGAAAAAAGAATTTCTAACTATAGGTCAATCCACTATCTAACTATACATCATTCAGATTTAAAATGAGAATCATAACTTATCTATAGAAAAGTCTATGTGAGCTTCATCTCTGGGGCTCATTTTCAGAAGTTAAGTATCTCAATAGTATCCACAGATTTGCATAACTGGGAATTTGTCTATGAATATATGTTTTTCCTAGAATTCACAATCACCAATTATAAATGCAAGTATTCCATCATGATAAAAGTGTGTGTGTACAGATCCACTTAATGGCTTTATACTTAAAAGGGAAAAGGATCACAAATAGAAGATCCATCAAAAAAAATCACCCATTACTGGGAGACAATACCTCTTCAATCAGCTTAGTGTTTGACTTTTCCAATGAATCGACTCTTGAGTGGAGGCTGCTGACTGTACTGCTGAAATTAACAAAAGAAAATACTCATTCACAATCATACAAACTCACGAAGGCAAGAAAATCAATGTTATCCTGGACTCATTATGTGACATATACCAACTATCCTGAACAAATGTCTGGAAGTGGGAAATTTCATTTACTAAGATAACTTATTTGGCTAGGACAGCAAAACAATATTTCTATTCACATACCAGGACTGGTGATATAGCTCAGTGTGTAGAGCACATGCCTAGCATGTGCAAGGCCCTGGGTTCCATCCCCAACACCATAATAAAAAAACAAAATAATCAACCTAGGACTGTTCATTTTTCATTGTCTTCTTAGAGTCTTTCTTACATTTAACTGGTAACGTTTACCAGTTGAGGAATGGAAATTCCACACAAAATTAATAAATATTGTTAAAATTTAAATTATTTTTAAAAGGATAAATTTTAAATGTACACTCTATAATCATGTGGCTTAATGAAACATACAGTGCTTTTCAGTTCAACTCCCAATCTGTTTCCCCTATTTTCATAATAACTTAGAAACAAACCTTCAAAGTCACACATAGCTTGAAAAACATGGATATGAGATACCCAGCAGCAGGTACCCATTTAGCTGGTACCTAGACACCCTATCTTTCGTGAATATAGTCAAAACGCATGTAACTCTACACAAACACATTTGGTTTTGTATTTCTAAGTGGATCAAGAGTGGATACTAGGGGCTGGGGATGTGGCTCAAGCGGTAGCGTGCTTGCCTGGCATGCGTGCGGCCCGGGTTCGATCCCCGGCACCACATATAAACAAAGATGTTGTGTCTGCTGAAAACTAAAAAATAAATAAATATTTAAACAAAAAAAAAAAAAAAAAGAGTGGATACTAGCAGGACACAGTGGTGTACATTTATAATTCCAGTGACTGGGAAAGCTGAGGCAGAGAATAGCGAGGTCAAGATCAGCCTCAGCAACTTAGTAAGACCTGTCTCAAAAAAAAAAAAAATTTTAAATATTTTTTCAGTTATCAATGGACCTTTATTTACTTATTTATATGTGGTGCTGAGAATCGAACCCCGTTCCTCACACATGTGAGGCAAGTACTCTACCACTGAGCTACAACTCCAGCCCCTCAAAATAAAAAATTTTAGGGCTGAAATTGTAGCTCAGCAGTTGAGTGCTCGCCGTGCACGTGCGAGGCCCTGGGTTAGATCCTCAGCACCATATAAAAATAAATAAATAAAGGTATTGTGTCCAACTACAACTAAAAAATAAATAAATAAATAAATAAATGAATGAATAAATAAATTTTAAAAAGGTTGGGGATGAAGTTCAGTGGTAAAACACTCCTAGGTTCAATACCTAGAACAAAAAAAAAAAAAAAAGGAGTGGACACTATTATACATTTATTAGGTCTGTTGTCCAAGGCCTACTTAATAATATCCTCTCAAACTTTTCCCAATAATATGTAATATAATCTATTACAGCAATATTTATAGTAAACCAAACAATTTTTATTTATTTATCTGTTCTTTTTAGATCTATAGACACAACAAATTTTATACCATCCTCAGACACAAGTATTTGTATATAAGATTGGTGAAATAAGAAAAATATTTTTCTGTTCGTATTAAATCATTTTTCTTTATCTCTTTTTTTGGAACTTGGGATTGAACCTAGGGGTGCTTAACCTCTGCGCCACATCCCCAAACCTTTTTCTTTTGAGGGGTACCAGGGATTGAACTCAGGGGCACTTGACTACTGATCCACACTCCCAGTTCTAATTTGTATTTTATTTAGAGACAGGGTCTCACTGAGTTGCTTAGCGCCTCGCTTTTGTGAGGCTGGTTTTGAACTTGAGATTCTTCTGCCTCAGCCTCCCAAGCTGCTGGAATTACAGGCACGCACCACCACACCCAGCTCAATTCGATGTATTCTTAATTTCTGTTCTCTCTATATATTCTTTCCACCCTTTCTTAACTAAGCTTAGGAGAAAGGAAAGATTTAAACTGAAAGCAAAGCCTAAGAATATTAATAAGTATGTGAGATATCCATAATACTTACTTGAGTTGTCTATTTAATTCTTCAACATAATTTTTTTGGTCTAAAATAGCAGCAATTTGAACATTCCTAGAGGGGAGAAAAAGAAGCTTTATGCTATTTGGAAGGGTGGGAAAAATATCTAAATCATCTAAAAAATTATCAGAAAACAACATTGTCTTGCCTTTAAAACAAACTTCAAGGATTTTTGTAGTCTCAGATATAAACTGTGTACTAAGTAATCATAATTTTTGTTCAATAAATTACTCACTATTAAAATGGATCTTATTAAGTACAGGTATGATCAAAAGTCCTACTTCACATTAAAGTCACCTTCTTCCAACTGATTTTTCTCATTTTGCTTTGTAAAGCTTTTAAAGAAAGTAAAATGAAACAAAAAAGGAGTCATGGGGTGGGAGTGACAGGGGACATGGACACAAACCACAATGTAAATAGATGAATCTAAAATTGATATTTTAAAGAGCTATATTTTTTTAAAAAAAAGTGAAATAAGGGGCTGGGGTTGCAGCTCAGTGGTAGAGCACTCGCCTAGCGTGCGTGAGGCACTGGGTTCAATCCTCAGCACCCATAAATGTAAAATAAAGATATTGTGTCCAGCAACAAAATGAAACTGAATCCCTTTTTCTCGCCATGCACAAAAGTTAACTCAAAATGGATCAAAGAGCTTGATATCAAATCAGAGACTCTGCGCCTGATAGAAGAAAAAGTTGGCTCCGATCTACATATTGGGGGGTCGGGCTCCAAATTCCTTAATAGGACACCCATAGCACAAGAGTTAATAACTAGAATCAACAAATGGGACTTACTCAAACTAAAAAGTTTTTTCTCAGCAAGAGAAACAATAAGAGGTAAATAGGGAGCTTACATCCTCGGAACAAATTTTTACCCTTCACACTTCAGATAGAGCCCTAATATCCAGAGTATACAAGAACTCAAAAAATTAAACAATAAGATAATAAATAACCCAATCAACAAATGAGCCAAGGACCTGAACAGACACTTCTCAGAGGAGGATATACAATCAATCAACAAGTACATGAAAAAATGCTCACCATCTCTAGCAGTCAGAGAAATGCAAATCAAAACCACCCTAAGATACCATCTCACTCCAGTAAGATTTGCAACCATTATGAAGTCAAACAACAACAAGTGCTGGCGAGGATGTGGGGAAAGGGGTACTCTTGTACATTGCTGGTGGGACTGCAAATTGGTGCTGCCAATTTGGAAAGCAGTATGGAGATTCCTGGGAAAGCTGGGAATGGAACCACCATTTGACCCAGCTATTGCCCTTCTCGGACTATTCCCTGAAGACCTTAAAAGAGCGTACTACAGGGATACTGCCACATTGATGTTCATAGCAGCACAATTCACAATAGCTAGACTGTGGAACCAACCCAGATGCCCTTCAATAGATGAATGGATAAAAAAAGTGGCATTTATACACAATGAAGTATTACGAAGCACTAAAAATGACAAAATCATGGAATTTTCAGGGAAATGGATGGCATTAGAGCAGATTATGCTAAGTGAAGCTAGCCAATCCCTAAAAAACAAATGCCAAATGTCTTCTTTGATATAATGAGAGCAACTAAGAACAGAGCAGGGAGGAAGAGCAAGAGGAAAAGATTAACATTAAACAGAGACATGAGGTGAGAGGGAAAGGGAGAGAAAAGGGAAATTGCATGGAAATGGAAGGAGACCCTCATTGTTATACAAAATTACATATAAGAGGTTGTGAGGGGAAAGGGAAAAAAATAAAAAAAAGAAACAAGGGAGAGAATTAAATTACAGCAGATGGGATAGAGAGAGAAGATGGGGGGGGATAGTAGAGGATAGGAAAGGTAGCAGAATACAACAGTTACTAATATGGTATTATGTAAAAATGTGGATGTGTAACCAATGTGATTCTGCAATCTGTATACGGGGTAAAAGTGGGAGTTCATAACCCACTTGAATCTAAAGTATGAAATATGATATGTCAAGAGCTTTGTAATGTTTTGAACAACCAATTAAAAAAAAAAGATATTGTGTCCACCTAAAAAAAACCTAAAAAATAAATATTTAAAAAAAGTGAAACAACTTAGGAAAATCATACCTTTCTTTATTTCCAATATCTTCTTCATTTTTTAAATACATGGAAAAATCAATCACTCCAACCTGAAATTAATTAAGTTATTTTTATTTAAAGGGAAGAAATGATACTTAATCATGCAACTCTTTTTCCCCTCTTAATTTTTCTTTAGTGTTTAATAGCACTGTTTACAACCTGGAGTGACATCTCGATCAAGAGTAAGTGTGCAAACTGAAAACCTTCTGCACTTACTTGTGAGTCTAAATCCTCTCCCTTCACACAAAGATTAGCATCTATTACATTCAGACCAACCAGCAGTCCAACAATTACTGCTCCTTCTTCTTCCATCATTAGTGCATGATATTCATAGAACTCACTGTGAAAATTAGAAGAACAAAAACCTTAAATCACAAATTTATTTCTAAAATAAAACTTTGAAATCTTAGCAACTTATCTCCCACCTTGCAGACATGGATGCAATCCATGCTAGATGCCTTTATTTTTAAAATTTTTGCAGTGCTATGGGATGAACTCAGGGCCTCATGCATTCTACACTAGTGCTCTCCCACTGAGTTATGCTCCCAGCCGTGTTCAGTAACTTTAAAATTAACCTTTCTACATGTTAACTTTTCAAAATTTAAATGTTTTTAAAAAGTTGGAAGAAAAAGGACTAAAGGAAATAAAACAGGAAAAGTAATTTTAAGAGAGAAAGAGAAAAGCAAAGTGAGATTAAAAGAAAGGCAACACTGACACCTGAAATATTTCAGACTTTCAGAACGGTGGGCTGGCATAGTGGTCTGTAATCCCAGCCAATTGGGAGACTGAGGCAAGAGGATTACGGGTTTGAGGGTAGCCTCAAAAACTTAGTGAGAACCTACCTCAAAATAAAAAAAGGATATAGCTTAGTGGTAGAACACACTAGTTTCAATTCTCAGTAATAAACATGCACATGCAGCGATTTGCTAATCTAATTGTTCATTTTATTAGAACTGAATTTTCAGAACTAGGATTCACTAAAACCTTTGGGATAAAAACTAAGGTGGAAAATAACTATAAAACATTTCAAGCTGGGCATGGTGGCACACCCCTATAATCCTAGCAACTAGGGAGGCTGAGGTAGGAGGATCAAAAGTTTGAGGCCAACTTTGACAATTCAGTGAGATCCTGTCTCGAGATTAAAAATTAAAAAGGCTGGGGTCATGGCTCAGAGGTAGAACATCCCTGGGTTCACTCCCCAATACTACACAAAAATTTTTTTGAAATAAAAATAGCCAATTATGGTGGCACATGCTTGCAATCCTAGCAACTTGGGAGGGTAAGGCAGGAGAATTGCAAGTTCAAAGCCAGCCTTAGCAATTTAGCAAGGTCCTAAGTAATTTGGTGAGACCTCAAAATAAAATATAAAAAGGACTGGGGAAGGGCTGGGATTATAGCTCAGTGGTAGAGCGCTTGCCTAGCATGGATGAGGCACTGGGTTCGATTCGCAGCACCGCATATAAGTAAATAATAATAATGGTCTATCAACAACTAAAAAAAAAATTAAAAAAAAAAAGGACTGGGGAAGTGGCTTAATGGATAAGCACCCCTCAATTCAATCCGCAGTACCAAAATAAATAAAAATAAAAACAATAACGAAATATTTCAAAGCCCATGTTCAAATCAGTGCATTTCAAAGGTGTATTTTAAGTTATCTTTTAAACATACTTATGGAAAGCCAGGCATAGTGGTTCAGCCTATAATCTCAGCAAGGTAAAAGGCTGAAAGCAAGAGGATCACAAATTCCAGGACAGCCTCAGCAATTTAGTGAGACCCTGTCTCAGAATAAAAAAAGGGCTGGGGATGCAGTTCAGTAGTAGAGATGCCCCTGAGTTCAATCCCCAATACTGCAAAGTAGATAGATAGATAGATAGATAGATTGATTGATTCACATGTGGATATCTGTATTTAAAAAAAAGTTCAAATAAGAGACCTGTGAAAGAAGTAGGGTAATCTAATACTAGGCATGGTGGCTAACACTTCTAAATCCCAGCTGAGGGAGGATTGAAAATTCAAAGCCAGCCTCAGCAATTTATCGAGGCCCTATGCAACTTAACAAGATCCTATCTCAAAATTTTAAAAAATTATTAAAGGACTGGGGATGTGGCTCAGTGGTTAAGAATCCCTTGTCTATACTCACAAAGTAGTTAACACCCTCTCATGTCCTCCTCAATCTTCAGAATATTGTTGAGAAATTACAGGGCTTAAAGTATGGATATTCTCATTTTACTAATGGGACTACTGAGATATAGAACCAAAGTCATACGTAAATTGAAAAACAGGGGGCTGGGGATGTGGCTCAAGCGGTGGCACGCTCGCCTGGCATGCGTGCGGCCCAGGTTCGATCCTTGGAACCACATACAAACAAAGATGTTGTGTCTGCTGAAAACTAAAAAATAAATATTAAAAAATTCTCTCTCTCTCTCTCTCTCTCTCTCTCTCTCTCTCTCTCTCTCTCTCTCTCTTTAAAAAAAAAAAAGAAAGAAAGAAAAACAGGACCATGCTCTTCAGAACTTTGAGAGAGAGACTTTAACACCAAGGACATATGAAAGGCTGCCCTGGGTACACTCCCTTGAAAGACTGATTGCCTTTCTCTGGTTGTCTGAAATATTTGACCTTCAGTTTAAACAGTGCTCACAACATAGTTGAAGCATTTATCTGTACTGGACATACAAGATCTAGGAAGAAACAGAATTAATCCCCAAATTCCAAAGCAAATTTTTATCCATAGAATTAACTATAATTCAGAAAAATCAACTAACTTAGAAACAGAACATATGTAAATTTCCCTATATTAGCTGATAAAAACCCTACAGTATTCCTATTTGGTGTTAGTTCCTCTCTTTCATTTTACTCCTCTTGTATTTTATGTCACATTTTTATATTTTATATATCCTTTTATACTACAGGCTGGATCATTTTTAGAAGAGAGAATATAAATGAAAAAAAATGAACATGAGTTAACGGTACCAACCTCAAGAGATCCCTCTGAATAATTAAGCAACGCAGGTAATCAGCCATTTTTTTCTGCATGAGGGCTAATCGAAGCCATGCTCTTGCACGACCCAGTGGGGTCCTAAAAAGAAGAACCAAATGGTCAGAAAATAGCCTTAGCTCTAAGACCATGGAATACATGTCCCATCTCTGTTGAGGTACACAACAAAGAAAAAAAGCCATTTTATCATGGTGTTCTTTTCAATTTTATAGTTTTCAATTAGCAATAATCACACCTTGGATAACCTTATTGGCTACGATGCTACCATGGTCCAAAGCTCATTTTTATAGTTTTAAGCCAGCAAGTTAACCAGTCCCTGCTCCTATAGGGTATGTAAGTACCATTTTATGCCTTAAAAGAAGCGATACTGGGAAATGAAGTTGACCAAAGTATGTTGCAAATATGTAACAATAAATCACAATATTATAATTATAATGTACCAATAAAAAATAAAGAAATGATTCACAGCCAGCACGGTAGCACATGCCTGTAATCCCAGCAACTTTGGAGGCTAAAACAAGAGGATCACAAGTTTGAGGCTGGCCTCAGCAATCTAGTAAGGCCTTCAGTAACTTAGTGAGACTTCATCTTAAAATTAATAAATAAACACAAAGAAATGATTCACTAAATAGTGAGAATATTTCTACAAGAAGTATTTTGTCTAAATAGTCTTAGCCCTCTAAAAGTGAATAGGCAAAAATACATCAGTAAAGCTGTATACAGCTGGACATGTTGGCTCACCATGTAATCCCACTGACTCAGGAGGCTGAAGCAGGAGGATGACACATTTGAGGTCAGCCTTGGAAACTTAGTGAGACCTTGTCTCAAAATAAAAAATAAAAAGGTAGAGATGTAGCTCAGTAGTAAACAACCCCTCAGTTCAACCCCTAGTACAGGGTGCTGGGGGTAGGGTGGGAAGAAAGAGAGAAAGAGGCCAGACACACAAAAAGAGAAATTAAACCTCGTACTTCTTTTATCCAAATTTTAAATTCTATATTTTAGTAAAAATAAAATCAAATTTCAAAGATTTTTTAAGAGAATGGTATCATTCATACTTTCTTCTTTTTTTTGAAGTACTGGGAATTGAACCCTGGGATGCTTAAACTGCTGAGCCACATCCCCAACCCTTTATGGAGACAGGGTCTTGCTAAGTTGTTTAAGGCCTTGCAAGTTGCTGAAGCTGCCCTCAAATTAACAATCCTCCTGCCTCAATCTCCTAAATTGCTGGGAATATAGGCCTGCACCCCCTTGCCCAGTTTACTTTCACATGTTCTTACGCAGAGATTTTGGCAGGTAATTTTATTTATTTTTATTTTTATTTTTTTGTAGTTGTAGATGGACAGCATGCTTTTATTTTATTTATTTTTGTATACGGTGCTAAGATTGAACCTAGTATCGCACATATTCTAGACAAGTGCTCTGCCACTGAGCCCCAACCCCAGCCAATGGCAGGTAGGTTTTTGTTTTGTTATTTTGGTACTGGGGATTGAACTCAGGAGCACTCAACCACTGAGCCACATCCCCACCCCATTTTGTATTTTATTTAGAGACAGGGTTTCACTGAGTTGCTTAGCACCTCACCATTACTGAGGCTGGCTTTGAACTCTTGATCTTCCTGTCACAGCTTCCTAAGCAGCTGGGATTACAGGCGTGTGCCACAGGACCTGGCTTGGCAGGTAGTTTTTAAGAAAAAAAATTTTTTTTTTTTTTTGGTACCAGGTATTGAACCCAGAGTTACTTAAGCACTGAGCCACATCCCCAGTCTTTTTTCAAAAGTTTTTATTTTGAGACAGGGTCTCACTAAGTTTCTTAGGGCCTCACTAATTTGTTGAGGTTGACCTCAAATGTACAATCCTCCTCTCTCAGCCTCCTGACTCACTGGAATTACAGAAATGCACCACCATGCCCAGCCGATACCACTTATCTGACCTTAATTTTTTCCATCTATATAATTATTATATCTACCCTATAAGATTGGCAAAAATTAAATGAGCCAGATGTGTTACCACATGTCTGTAATCCCAGCATTTTGGGATTTTGAGGCAGGAGGATCATAAATTCAAAGTCAGACTCAGACACTTAGCAAGGCCTTGTCTCAAAATAAAACATAAAAAGGGCTGGAGATGTAGTTTAGCACCCTTGGGTTCAATGCCTGTTACAAAAGCAAAAAAAAAAAAAAAAAAAAAAAACACAACTAAATGAGACAATTTTTGTAAAAAGATTACATATTACCCACACAGTGCTCAGTAGTAGCCATTTATTCTCATCACTCAATTAAGCCCAATTTACAAATATCTGAAAACACTATCATATTCCCCACAACATATAAAACCCTAAGTTGTAAAGAAAATACAAACTGAGAGAGTCAGAGTTGGAAAAAACAAACTGATAATCCTGACAGAAAATCCTAAGCATAAAAAAGTTATCTCTGGAGGATTGCAAGTTTGAGGCCAGCCTCAGCAGCTTAGTGAGGCCATAGCAACTTAATGAAATCCTGTCTCAAAATAAAAAATAAAAAAGAGCTGGGGATATGGCTCAGTGGTGTAGTGCCTCTGGTTCAACCCTTGGTACAAAAAAGAGGAAAAAAAGAAAGAAACATGGGAACTTAGCCTTGGGCTGTGGTTGTAGCTCAGAGGCGGACCACCGGCCTAACACGTGTGAGGCCTTGAATCCAATTCTCAGCAAAGGTTTCAACAGTCATGATTTCTTAGCTGGAAGTTTCCAGCTTTTAGGGCATTTCACATACATTAATCCAAAAAAAAAAAAAAAAAACAAGCAGATGGCACTATAGGCTCCAATTTCAGGTGGAAGGAAACAATTTGCACAAATCCTATGGTATATGAAGAGTTTAACTGAAAACTCTACTGAATCTTTGCCTTGGATTCAGCCTACTTCAGTCTTCAACAAATAGTTATTGACTGCCTACTTTGAAGAAACTAGTTTAACCCTCAGAACAGATGTAGAATTAATATATCCTTTTTTTTTTTTTTTTGGTAATTAGGATTGAACCTAGGGGCATTTTACCACTGAGCACCATCCCCAGGCCTTGTTTTATTTTTTTATTTTGAGTCAAAGTCTTGATAATTGCTTAGGGCCTTGCTAAGTTGTCAAACCTGGCCTTCAATTTTGTGATCCTCCTGCCTCAGTCTCCAGAATTGCTGGGATTACAGATGTGTGCCACCGCACTTAGGTTGATACAGCCTCTTAAAGGGACTTACAATTTCCTACAATACAATGAAACTGAAGTAATGATACAACAAATATATATATTTACTCCCCCCCTTAGTGGTAAGAACTTAAAAGGAAGGATGGGAGAACTGGGGTTGTGGCTCAGCCGTAGAGCGCGTGCTTCGCATGTGCGAGGCCCTGGGGTCAATTCTCAGCACCACATAAAAATAAATAAAACAAAGATATTTAAAAAAAAGGAAGGATGGTTAACTTTTATTGAAGGAGGTGGAATCTGAGCTGAATCATATAGAATAAACAGTTTGCCAAGTTCTGGGGTACATGCCTGTGATCCCAGAGGCTCAAGCAAGAGGATCACAAATTCAAGGCCAGTCTCAGCAACTTAGCAAGCCCTAAGCAACTTAGTGAGACACTGTCTCAAAAAATTTTTAAATAAATATTTAAAATGGGGATGGGTGTGAGGCACTAAGTTCAATCCTCAGCACTACATAAAAATAAAACAAAGATATTGTGTTCACCTAAAACTAAAAAAAAAATTAAAAAAAAATAAAATGGGGATGGGGCTGGGGATGTGGCTCAGTGGTAAAGCACCTCTGAGTTCAATCCCTAGTTTAAAAACAAACAAAGCATGAACCGAATTTTATTAGAGGACAAGAAAAGAAGGGTATGTAATATAATAGGGGTCCACTCATGATTTGAATATAACCCTTGCTGCTCTGCCACTGCAGCTTAATTTAAAACTGGATCCTCCTCCCCCCCTTCCTTTTTTTCCTCCCTAATCATGGGGAAACAAGATTAACCTTTCTGTCCTGGGTCAAGTTATCCGTCTTTCTGCTCAGGGCACAAGAATGAAGGAATATAGACTTCAGAGCTGGCACCAAGGGGTCTCAGAAATGGCTACCTCTCAAGGCTAAAACTGAATTGAAACTCCTGACGAGGCACAGCCAGAGTGCAGCCTTTGTATCCCCTCTTTAAAAGCCCACTATTTCCCCTGGTTGTTAGAATCACAGCCCCTGGGATAGGAGTCCACTGTGTATTCTCCTTTGCTGGCAAAGCAATAATCTTCTTTTTCCTTAAACCTTGTCCTTGTCATTGGATTTTAACCAGGGACAAGGACTAAATTCTTGGTATCATTAAGGCTGAGAGAAGATGATAAACTGAGGTATGTTAGAGGACAGTAAATACACTGCGGAGGTTAAGAATGAACAACTAATAACATTACTTACTTAAGACCAGGTAAGTCTCGGACACTGGCTCCTATTTCCTCTGCTTCTGGGTAAAGCTTCTCCACCAGTTCCAGAGGGCCCCAAATAGTTTTGTTGTAACTCAAAAATGATTTTCTTACTGGAGGGAAAAAAAAAAGAAGAAAGTACAATACCCACAGTTTCAACATATAAAATGGTATTAACTTCACCTTAAATATTAACATACCATTATTCAAAGAACTTTCCACTTCTTTATTTTTTTTAACTAATTTTTTTGGTACTGGGTATTTAACCCAGAGGTGATACACACACACACACACACACACACACACACACACACACACACATATATATTTAGTTGCAGTTGGACGCAAGACCTTTATTTTATTGTGGTGCTAAGGATTGAACCCAGCGCCTTGGACGTGCTAGGCAAGCACTCTACTGCTGAGCCACAACCCCAGCCCCAGCCCCAAAGTGGTAAAGAGGTTCTTTACCACTGAGCTACATCTCCAGCCCTTGTTTTTTGGTTTTTTTTTTTTTTTTGTTTTGTTTTTTTTAGGCAAAGTATCAATAAAACTGCCTAGACTGACTTGGAACTTCCAATACTATCTAGGCATTCTGAGTAGCTGGAATTATAGGTGTGCCCCTCCATGCCCCACTTTTCCATTCTTGTTGATCAGGAACCTGTTCAATCAGGAACTTGTTGCCCATTCTGCCCCTGACACACACACATTTTGCCATATCAGAAAAATGCTTTTTGGCCAGTCTTTCATATCAAAAGTATGCAGGCAGAGTTGGTCATGATGGCACACGCCTGTAATCCCAGCAACACAGGAGGCTGAGGCAGGAGTATTCTAAGTTTGACACCATCCTAGGCAAGTTAGTAAGACCCTGTTGCAAAATTAAAAAATTAAAAGGGCTAGGAATATGTCTCAGGGGTAAAGAACTCCTGGGTTCAATCCCCTATACCACTTTAAAAAGAAAAGAATGTAGCAAGTAATTAAACAACTCATCCTTTTTTTTTTTTTTTGGTAGATGGACAGCATGCCTTTATTTTATTTGTTTATGTTTATGTGGTGATAAGGATTGAACTCACTACATCTTCAGTCCTAGACTCATTCTTGACCAGTACAAAAATAAAGACTGGTGGCCCTTGAAGATTGATCTTTACAAGTTTAAATAAGCCAAGCACAAATAACAAGGTGTTTTCCTTTTAATTATGAAAAATTATGAATTTATTTGTATTTATTCTGATTATTTGAGTAATATAAAACCATAAAATCAGCTGGGCAAGTGGTGTACACCTCCAGTCCCAAATACTCCAGAGGCTGAGGCAGAAGAATCACAAGTTCAAAGCAGCTTCAGCAATTTAGTAATGTCTTTAAGCAACTTAGCAAGACCTCGATCAAGGGAATGGGGTTGTAGCTCAGTGGCAGAGTGCTTGCCTGGCATGTGTGAGGCACTGGGTTCAAGTCTCAGCACCATATAAAAATAAATTAATTAAATGTCTATCGATAACTAAATATATATAAAAAGGCCCTTATTCAAAAATTTTTTTAAAAAGGGTTGGGGATATGGCTCAGGGGTTAATCTCCACTGGTTTCAATCCCCAGCACAAAAAAAAAAAAAAAAAAAAAAAAAAAAAAAACCTAAATGCATTAAGATAAGTGAAGGAACCAGGCTTGGTGGTTGGTGCACACCAGTCACTTGGGAGGCTAAGGCAGGAGGATCCCAAATTTAAGGCCAGTCTCAGTAGCTTAGCAAGACTCTGACTCAAAAAATAAAAAGGGGGACTGGGGTTGTAGCTCGGTGGTAGAGTGCTTGCCTCGCACTCGTGAGGTCCTGGGTTCATACTCCAGCACCACATAAAAATAAACAAATAAAAATAAAGATATAAAAAAATAATAAAAAGGGTTGGGGATGCCACTATGACACACACCTGTAATCCAGCAACTATGGAGGCTGAGGCATGAGGCTTCCAAGCCTCAGGAACTTAGTGAGCCCTAAGCAACTTATTCCAAAGCAACTTAGTGAGACCCATCTCAAAATAAAAATTTAAAAAGTGTTAGGCACCTAGCTCAGCAGTAAAGTGCCCCTGGGTTCAATCTCTAGTACTAAAAAAGGGGTGGGGGGAGATAAGCCTATAGTCATAGGAAATGGCTTACTATATTTTGTAAATGATAATGAATTATGAAAATAACTATTTTGGCCAGCAAATTCCAAATTTCAATTTATTAGGCTTTGGGAAAATAAAGATTTATATCACTGCTATTTTAAAAAATAAAATTTTTTGAAAAGGAAATTAAAAATCACGAAGGTCTGATTGGACCAGATTGGTGATTTTCTATGTATTAAAAGTATTTTGAAGCAGAATGTGGAAGCACCTGGAGTTGCAGCTACTTGGGAGTCTGAGGCAGGAGAGTGGCTTGATCTGAAGTCCCAGCTACTCAAGAGACTGAGTTGGGAGGATTCATTGATCCCCAAGTTTGAGACCAGCCTGGGCAAGATAAGGAGAGCTCCTCTCAAAAACAAAACAAAAAACGTGTTTAGAGACTGACAACATCAGGAGAGAACAAAAATGTGGGGAAACAAATGCTCTTGTCCACTTCTAGTTGATAAATCAGTGAAGCCCGTACAATGCCAATTATATCTTTTGACCTGGTAATAATACTCTTAGGAATCTTTCTATGTAAAGTTCTCCAAAAACAAAAGTTGCAGGATAATAAAACACCATGGTATTTAGAGAAAAAGGGAAAAAAACAGAAAAGAACTGAAAGAATGATTCTCTTCAGGAAGATGAATGGAAAGGAACGAACAGAATTCATATTTTGCTCTCTGTAGTTATGATTTTTGTTTGTTTTTGTTTTTGAGATGGGTTCTCACTGTGTTGCCCAGGCTGGTCTCAAACTTGGGGATCAATGAATCCTCCCAACTCAGTCTCTTGAGTAGCTGGGACTCCAGATTTTTGCCACTGTGCCAGGCATTATTTTATTTTATGTTATATTGTTTGATATACTTCAATAGTTCCCTCTATCTGAGGTTTCTATACTTTGGTACCTGTAGTCAACTATGGTCTGAAAGTATTACATAGAAAATTCCATACAGACCACATTCACACAACTTCTATTACTGTATATTATAATAATTTTTCTATTTTATTATTGTTGTTAATCTCTTACTGTGTCTAAATGATAATTAAATTTTTTCATAGTCATGCATAGGAAAAAACAAAGTAAACCGTAGGTTTTGGTACTATTCATGGTTTTGGACATCCACTGAGGGGTCACAGATAAGGTAGGGTGGGGGAATACTGTACCAAAAAGTGTATTTCACTAACATTCATATAATTTTTTTTCTTTTTTGGTTCTATGGATTGAACCCAGGGTACTTAACCACTGAGCCACATCCCCTATCATATCTATTTATCTATCTATCTACACTATATATATAAAATATATGTGTGTATATGTATATATAATATTTATTTAGCAACAGGGTCTCACTGAGTTGCTTAGCACCTCATTTTTGCTGAGGCTGGCTTTGAACTCACAATCCTCCTTTCCCAGCCTCCCAAGCTGCTGGGATTACAGGTGTGAGCCACCAAGCCCGGCTCCCCAGACCTTTTATGTTTTGAGACAGGATCTTACTAAGTTGCTGAGGCTGGCTTTGAACTTACAATCCTCTTGCCTCAGCCTTCCAAGCTGCTGAGACTAGAGTGTGTGCCACCATGCCCAGCTCAATTTTAAGAAATTATTTTAATTCTTTAGCCAGTGCATACTTGTCATCCCAGTGATTCAGGAGACTGAGGCAGGAGGATCACAAGTTCCAGGCCAGCCTCTGCAACTTAGTGAGGACCTAAGTAACTTAGCAAGAACCTGTCTCAAAATAAAAAATAAAAAGGGCTAGGGGTTCAATCCCTAGTAACCAAAACATAAAAAGCATGGGGATACAGCTCAGTGATAGAGCATCCCTAGGTTCAATCCCTAATATCTTAAAAAATCATTTTTAAACAAAAGTAAAAAATGAATATTATCATATAGAAAAAAATTGGCAGGGGGGTACTATAGATTGAACCCAATGATGTTTTACCATTAAGCTATATCCCCAGCTCTTTTTATTTTTCAGATAGGGTCTCACTAAGTTGCCCAGGCTAGCTTGGAACTTGCTTTCCTCCTGCCTCAGCCTCCCTACTAGCTGGAACTATAGGTGTGTACCACCATGAAGGCTAGCATACAACTCTTATATACCATCCATGTAAATGCTGATCATATGAACTACAAATCAAACTGTCAATTGTGTGTGTGTGTCTGGTGATAGAAACTCAACCCAGAGCTACAAGCACACTAGGCAAGTGCTTAGCCACATCTTCAAGTCTATATTTAATTTTTAAGTATATGTTGTATAAGACCTACTCTTCAACTTTTAATTATTAGGACTGGGGTTGTGACCCAGTTGTAGAGCACTTGCCTAGCATGCAGGAGGCTCTGAGATTGATTTCTAGTACTGGAAAAAGAAATTAAGCATAAAACAAACATTTTACATTCACAATATGAATGTATAATAGAATGGATGATCTTTTCAGGGATCACTTTCATTTCTATAATAACCCAAACCAGAGAATACTTTCTCTAGATATGTTCCCATAGAATAAGGAGGTTCCTATTTTAACAATCTAATATTTTTTTGTTTTTGTTCTTCATAGCATTGGGGATTGAACGCAGGGATATTATTCTACAGAGCTACATCCCCCGACCTTTTTATTTTTTGAGACAAGTTCTCACTAAGTTGTTAAGCAAAGGGTACCCTTGAATTTGAGCAGGGATTGCAGGGGTGGGGTGCACCACCATGTCCAGCTACGCTATCTACTATTTCAATGTATTTGTTTAATAGATCTCAAACTTTGAGTTCATATCACCATTTGAAATTTGAAATTTAAAATAATTCTGATTGCTCTATAAAATGGAAACCAGTTCAAGGGTACATGTTGAAAAAATGTTTAATAAAGAAAAAAAAATTACAAACAATTAAGCATTTTCTGAAGATCACCTATTAGAAAACAAAATGGTAATTTTTCTCCCCAAAATCAACCCACTCAATATTTTTTAAGCACAAAATAACAGTAATTTATGGCCTCAAACATACATTTTCTAGGATATCTAAAGTGAATTTTTAAAAATTTCATGATACCTTTAAGACCGTGTTTCAGACAATGTTCCATAACAACAAAGAACTGCTGCAAAGGGGGATAGTCAGAGTCCAAAGTGCGACCAAAGCTGAGAGCAGATTCAATGAGTCCTTTGATACTCAGTTTAGCCATGTTTAACAAGTTTGCTCTCTCTACAGCTGTGGGGTCTTTTGTAGCTGGAAACATAAGAAAGGAGTCCAACATCATTCACAAGACAATGAAAAATATACAAACTTTGTCCCTTCCCCTATAAAATGAACACTGGTTTGCTTTTCCTTTTTCCTGATTATCTCCTACCTAACTTCTCTTTATGTCTCTCTCACTCATACCATAGCAAACTGCCATGCCTGCTCCAGCCAAAGGTCTGAATCATTTTTAAGTTTCTGCAGTTTTGCCATTCTCCTACAGTTGTTCTACTGTATGGAAACTCTTCTCTACAAATGAGTTTTTAAAATGATTTTCTAAGGAGACAGGTTGGGGACATAGGTGACACATTTAAGGGCCTCATGCAAATGGTAGATAATAGATATGCTCTTAAGGATAAATTCCAAGCAAAAAAATGTTCAGAATAAACCTGTAATAAAATAAAAGGTAAAGCTCTAAGATACTACTATCTCTCATAACAAACACATCCGTTAAAACAGTAATACCGACAAAAACGAAGAAGCGGAAGCTGCTCACTTCTCTCAGTCACTTCAACCTTCTTTCTATCTTGTTTTTCCATTCCAATTGTAGTTTTGTATTGCATGAACCACAGTTCCCTGTCCCTCCATATAGCTGGTGATGTCTGTGTTTGAGTTTGAATGCCAAGACATATTTTAAAGTCCAGATTTTTAACTGACATTTTCAACTCACAAATATATCTTCTCTCACACAAATTTTATTCTTTAAGAAATACAGATGCTTCCCCATACTCTCATCACTTGTGACTGGCAGGAATATTTTCAGAAAACAGAGATGACAAAGCTGAGGTGTGGAAAAATGAAACACTTTGTGGTGCATGCCTATAATCCTAGCGACTCCGAAGGGCAAGACCTGCAAATCTGAGATCAGCCTTGGCAACTTAGCAGGACTCTATTTCAACATAAAAAAAAAAAATAGAAAGGGCTGGGGATATAGCTCAATGGTAGAGCGCCCCTGAGTTCAATCCCCTTTAGCACAAAGGGGGAACAAAGCACTTAGTATAACACTTAATTATCTATAATAGCTGACTAATGTACAAGCCCAAGTAGTCAAAGTGCCCATTTTTCCTTCACTGAACAAAAATTCAGAGTTCCGCATAATTTAGTATTCTAGATCTGACTTCAGCTAGCTATCATGAAGCATGACATTGAATTCTTAAGAATTTAAAACACAAACCCAAGTGTTATGACCAGGCCGACTTAATGGAATACGTGTGGACCATTATTTCTTCAAATCTGCATGGTGGTAGGGCTCCCCAGTGAAACCACCTGATGTGTCATAATCTGTGACGATTCTCATTTTATAGTGCCCATCAAAACCCGTAACGCGGGATATGACAACCATACAAAGGATGACCGCAGCTGCTGGGCACAGGTTGGTGCTAAGTACCTGAGACTGCCAGGCGGAGGACCTTCGCGCTGCGGCCACGCCCTAGCAGGACTCCGTGACTCGGGTGAGGCTGCAGATGCACCAAGAGACCAGGCAATGGGCCCCTCTGCGCACCTAGCCGAGGCCTGGAGCCCGTTCCCTGCCTCTCCTCCTACCCCAACCCAAGGCCGCCTCCGGCAGCCCCCCAAGACCCCCCCGCGGAGGGCTCACCCAGGGTCTTGCAAGGCATCGCTCCCCCTCTCTCGGCGTGGGGCGCCCAGGCCAAAACCTGAGATGCGTCTTCCCTCCGCCACCCCCAAATCTGAAAAGTCATCGCTCGTCCCAGATTGTAACCCCGACCCCGGAGCGACACCCAGCCCGCCTGGTCTTCGCTCCCTAGAAGCCGTCAGACTTCCAGTGCTCGGCCACCAGACCCCAGAATCCAGGCGGGGGCGGGAAAGAACAAGGTGGGGCCGCGCGTTGCCATGGCGACCCCGAGCCCCCGAATCTAGGCTGCCCCCGCCCACCCCAGGTTCCGGTCCCAGATCCGACTCCACGGCCCCCGCAGCCCCCGCGCAGTCCTCCCAGCCCGGCCGCAGCCTGCAGCCCTTGACGGAGGGCGGCGTCAGCTGTCGGCCGGCTCCCCTTACCCATGGCGGCGGCGCGGTCTCGGGCGGGGGCTCCCTGGGCCCGGCTACTAGCTCCCTGCAGCCGCTCGGCGGCCGCCACCGCATCTGCACCGGGCCCGCTGCGGCCCACAGCGCCCCCGGCGGCGGGAGGACGCCCGGGCGGCCCCTGGGGGAAGCGGCGCCCGGGCTCCAGCCGGGGACGACGGAGTCTGCAGCCCGCACGGGAGAAAGCCCGCCCCGCTCAGCCGCGGTGTCCACTCGACCCGGAAGAGAAGGAAGGGAGCTGGACCAGAGCTCGGGAGTGGGAGCCGGGCGCCGGACCTCGGCGGGGCTTCTCGTCCCGGCGCCTCGCCAGAGCCCAAATCCCGGATTTTAACGGGGGATTCGAGGCACGTGCAGACGTTTCCGTGCCCACGGGCTGGCCCAGACCCCTCTCCTTTCACCTTCTCAAACTCACAGAGGACCAGGGAATGTAGAAAACATGACGCAGTTCACAGTAGGTAGAAGCCCACTGAAATTAGGTAGGCCGCTCCAAATCACGTCGTTAAATCAGGAAACACACAGGTTTATAAGGTGTCACGAGCAACGGTCTCATTGATCAAGGAGAGGTGTGAGGGAAAACTAGCGTTTTCTCCTTCGGGGAGCGGAAAAATGAGAACATCGCTAGGCACGATGGCGCACGCCTGATCCCAGCGACTGGGGAGGCTAGGGCAGGAGGAGCCTGGGCAACGTAGCAAGATCCTGACTCAAAATAGAAAATAAAAAGGACTGCGGAGGTAGTGCAGTCGTAAAGCGATCCTGGGTTCCATCTCCAGTGCCACTAAATAAATAAATATGTTTAAAAATAAAACAATGCTCAGATGACAGACACTAGATTTAAGTCAAGTCAATTCAGGAAAAGTAAAAGTAATTATTTTTAAGTTAATGTATTTTTGTTTGAGTTTTTAGCCCCTAAGCCATTATTATAATTATTATTATTGTGAGACAGGATCTTGCTAAATTGTTTAGGGTCTTGCTAAACTGCTGGAGCTGGCTTTGAGCCTTGAACTTGAGAACCTCCTGCCTCAGCCTCCTCAGTCGCATGCACCCCAGCACCCAGCAAAAGTAATCTATTACCTAGTCAGATCTGTAGCAGTTCAGATTATAACTGAACTTGAAAGACCTGGTATCTTGTGAAATTGAAATTCTCTTTATCAATTTGGCTACTATAAAGTTCCGTTACGCTTCTTGTGGTTTTAAATTTTCTTTATTGTGAGATAATCATAAATGGATAAAATGTATAAAACATATGTACTGTTTCCTTAAAACGTATAGTATATAGATAGATATCTTTTATACTGATTCCTTAAACCATACATATACACTATATATATATATATATATATATATATATATATATATATATGTGTGTGTGTGTGTGTGTGTGTGTGTGTATACACACACACACACACACACTGAAACCATATATATACACTACATATATGGTTTAAGGAATCACTATAAAGTAATCATCACCACATCAAGCTTAGAACAGAGTCACCCTCCCAGGAAAATCCCCCTAAACCGTAGTCTCACTCATCCCCCAGAGTTAAATACCATTCTGATCTTTATGAGAAGAATTTTCTTGCTTTTATGTATAACACCATCACCTAAGTATGTACCCCTAAACAATGTCGCTTCCAACTGGCATACTACTGAGTAATTTTGTTGCTTTTTTCTTTTGCACATCACCATGTTCTTGAGATTCATCCAAGTCCACAAAGAGTTTCCACTTTGGACTGTTTTCAAGGTGCACATCCATCCTTCAGTGCATGTACTAAAAGTCTCAAGGGCATATGATTAACTGGAATTCCTGGAAATGTGGGTATACCTTTCTTTAAACTGACCAGATAAATTCAAAGTGTTTTCAAAACTTTTTCCACAATCTGCACTCCTACCAGCACTTAACGTTTTCAGTTGCTTAATGTCCATTCAAGTGCTTGGAATTGTCAATTGTTTTCCAGTCTTGTGAATATGCAGTTGTATGGTGAGTTTATTTTGTATTTATCATTATTACTAATAACATTGAGCACTTTTGCCCATATTTTCTACTTACTTGGAGATCCAAGTTTGCCAAGAAACTGTTCAGGTCTTTAGCCCATTCTTGTATTGTCTTTTCTTTACTGGCTTGTATGATTTTCCTAAGATGCTACATACTACTTTGATGTCAGTTATATGTTGCCAGTATGAGGGGGTTTTTTGCCTGATTTTTCTCTTTATACATTCCAATTATTTTTTATTTTTTTTGCCTGATTTTTCTCTTTATACATTCCAATTTTCTTTCTTTGTTGCCATTTTTTCTTTTCTTTTTTTTGGGGGGGGGTAATGGGGTTGAACTCAGGGACACTCTACTGAGCCACATCCCCAGCCCTTTATTGTATTTCATTTAGAGACAGGGACTTGATGAGTTGTTTAGGGCCCGGCCAAGTTGCTGAGGCTGGCTTTGAACTTGCCATCCTACTGCTGCAGTTTCCCTAGCCACTGGAAATACAGATGTGCACCACTGTACCAGGCTTTAATTTTCTTATAGTTACATTTATGGTTTACGCTTTAGTATCTTGTTTAAGAAATCCTCACTACCCCAGCTGCATGAAAATCTTGAGAGAATAGCTTTGCTTTTCATATTTAGGTCTGTTATAGCATCCAGAATTGATTTTTGTGAATAATGTGAGATAGGTCCTTATGTACAGTCAACTGTACCGTTTTCATTTCATGTTGATCTCCTTTATCCATCAATGAACATATATGAGCAGGTCAGTTTTTAGGCTGAAATCTCATTTGGCTTTCAAAATCACCCTACCAGAAGGAATTACACCCAATTTACAGATGAAGAAACTAACTTCAGAAAGGGTAAATAATCTGCCCAGTGTCACAGAACCAGAATTTTAACCAGCACAAAAATAGTCACCATTTTCATAAACTCAAAATGAACATTTGATAGTGTTTCACAGGGTTTAAAATTCATGAAAAGTCTAAATTGGTCTACTGTTATCTGGCAATTAAAAGTGCAGGGCTGGGGCTGTAGCTCAGTGGTAAAGTGCTTGCCTCGAATGGGTGAGGTACCAGGTTCAATCCTCAGCACCACATAAAAAAAATAAATAAAGATACTATATGTTCATCTACAACTACATAAATATTAAAAAAAAAGTTCAGGGCTGAGGGGCTGAGGTTATGGCTCAGTGGTAGAGCGCTCACCTAGCATGTGGGAGGCATTGGGTTCAATCCTTAGCACCACATAAAAATAAATAAATAAACAAAGGTATTGTGTCCAACTATAACTAAAAAAATAAATAAATATAAAAAAAAGTTCAGGGCTGAGATTATGGTTTAGCATGCACAAGGTCCAGGGTTTGATTTTTAGCACCCCCCACAAAAAAAAAAAAAAATTGAAATAAGAACTGAGTATGGTGACTCATTTCTGCAATTCCAGCTATAGGGAAGCCTGAGCCAGAAGGATTGGGAGTTTGAGTCCAGTCTAGACAACATAATGAGATCCCAATTAAAAAAAAAAAAGTTGTGATACTGGGGCTGTGGCTCAGTGGTAGAGAGCTCCTCTCGCATGTGCGAGGCCCTGGGTTCAATCATAAGCACCACATAAATAAAATAAAGGTATTGTGTCCACCTACAACTAAAAATATATAAATATTAAAAAAAAAAAACTGGGATGCTACTGGATTGTTCATTTTCATCCTCTCCAAATGACAGGTTAAAGAAGGAATTTCTTTTTTTGGTCAAACCCCATATCAGGACCTGTTACCCCTAAGCTACATCCCATACATTTATTTATTTATTTTTGAACCAGGAATTTAACCCAAGGGCACTTTACCACTGAGCTACTTGCCCTGCCCTTTCTATTTTTTAAAGACAGAGTCAAGTTGCCTGGCTCAGTTGCTGAGGCTGGCCTTGAACTTCCCATCTTCTCAACCTCTCTAGTAGGGAGGATTACAGGTGTGTGCTAAATCGGGCAGCAGGAATTTATATTCAAAGGGAATTTAGAAAAGCAAATAAAATTTTACTACATATTTAATTATTTGGACACCCAAGCTTCTGGTCTGGAGTCAGATGCACAACCTTTGCACCATGAAGTCTCCCTTAAGATATTTTTTGAGGTGCGCTGGTTCTGGGAATCAAATTTAGGGTATTCTACCACTCCAGCACTCTACCACTGAGCTACATCCTCAGCCCATAATTATTTAATAGAACCATGAAAACAATGCAAAAGAGCTTTATTTTATAGGTTGTTTTTCTGCTAGGGACTTCACAGGTAACTAATAGAAGTTTAATTTTAAAACAGCTACCAAATGTGCTGGTGTACGCCTATAATTTAAGCTACTGAGGGGGCTGAGGCAGGAGGATCTTGAGTTCAAAGCCAGCACCAGTAATTTAGCAAGGCCCTAAGCAGCTCAGCGTCTCTAAATAAACTATTTTAAAAAATGGGCTGGGGATGTGGTTCCATGGTTAAGCACTTCTGGGTTCAATCCCCAGTACCAAAAAACAAAACAAAACCAGCCGTATGTATGTATGTATGTATGTATATATGTATGTATGTATGTATGTATTTATTGTGCCTCTAGGCATATAATCCAGGGCCATCTACCACTGAGCATTTTTATTTTTATTTTTATTTTACGACAGTGTCCGGGGGCTGAGGTTGTAGCTCAAGGGTTGAGCGCTTGCCTTGAATGTGTGAGGCACTGGAATGGATCCTCAGCATCACATAAAAAATAAATAAAATAAAGATATTGTATCCATCTACAACTAAAAAATAAAAATAAAAAATAAAAGACAAGGTCTGGCTAACTTGTTCAGGCTGGACTTTAACTTGCAGT